ATGTCCGAAATGACTCTAGTTAATTGATTAGAATATATTATAAATAATGGATGTGGTGCATTATGAGCTAATTCTTTCGCTGCAAAAAAAATACTATGATACAAAAAAATAAATTTATATGATAATTTATGAGTGTAATAATTTTTTTTTTTATAAAATTATAATTTAATTTGTACATATGAAATATTGGTACTTTATCGAAAATAAAACTCTAAATTAACAATTTTATCCTAAAATTATATCCAAATTTGATTGAAAATAGAATTCTAAATTAATTTTTTTATCATACAATTGAATTCTATATAAGTTGGCGCAACACTTGGCGAAAAGTTGGAACGCCAAGTGTCGTTATCTCTTCGTCTGGCTAAAAGTTTAGCTTTATATATTAGTTATATGATTATTTATTGATTATTATTATTATTATTATTATTATTTATTACTTATTGATTATTATTATTACTATTATTACTACTACTACTACTACTATTATTATTATTATTATTATTATTATTATTATTACTAGATGAAAGCCCGTGCGATGCACGGTTTTTTCATATATAAATCTCAAGAAAATATATTTTTGTATAGATTCTATGTTTTTTTTTAATTATTTGATTTATTTTACTATCTAATAATTTCAGACAAAAAAACACATAATATTTTAATTAAAGTGTTATTGCCTATTACAAAAGTTTTTTTTTTTAAAATGTAATTTTTAACGCGACTTTATTTATTGTTGTTTTGTACTTTATTGTGGTTGTTAATTATATAACAATTGGATTTAAAAATATGATTAAATTGTAAATATGATATCTTTCAAAAAAAATAATTGTAAATGTAATATTTTATCGGTTACATATTAGGATAAAATCTTTAATGTGAAAAGATATTTTTTATTTTAAAATAATTTAAAATAAATCATTATTTGTTGTTTTTTAAAAGATAAAAATATTATAAAAAAAATAATCAAAAACACGTATACTATTTATCTTCTATTTTGATAGAATCACCAACTTCGTTCACACCCATATCTCTTCCATCTAATCAAAATGGATAAATAAAACATGTTAGCAAAAATAAATTTATATAAAATTAATTCTTTTTGTTAATTCTAATTAATATTATAAATAAATCAATATATATATTTACCAGGAAGTGAAAAATTATTGTGAAATTGATCTAAAAATTTTAATTGTAAAAAATAAAATCTATGCATTGGAATTTTTTCATCGTCCTCAATCGCCCGAACAGTAGTATTTTAAAAAATTAAATCATTATTTTGTTGTCACTGGCAATGCTTGCGATATTTCTTCTTAATTGTAACGATTGAAAAATATCTAATGAAATTGTACAAGGTTGGCTTTAATTGCGGCATGAACGTAATCACCCTGTAATTAAAAATAAAAATTAAGTTAATTTGATGACTTGATTATGCTACCTAAATCACAAAAATTTGTTTTAATCATATAATTAATTAATAAAAACTAAAAAGGTTTATAAAAAATTTAATAAATGTAAACGATATATAAAGATGTAATACCTCTTTTTACTTTGATTTTCCAATCATTTTTGCTCGAATTTAATTATCTGATTATATTAGATCTACATATAAAAACAAAATTCAGTAAATAAAAAATAAACATATAATCATTAAGTATTCTAAATAAACATAATGTAAGCAATAATCACAAATTTACATTTAAACATGGATTTTAAAAATTAAACTAAGAATTACGCAACCATTGATGACATGAAACTGACACAACTGACACAAAATTCGCTTGATTTGGTTTTGTATTGATATGAAATTTTATTGGTGTTGTAGGATGCGTCAATTTATAGTGGTAGGCATCACAAATTTTAATTTAATTATAATTAAGGAATAATTTTTATTTCTTATTATAAACACTCTAAAGATTATCTTAGATATATAAATCCATATCTTAAGATGATTTTTTTAAAAAAGATAATTTTTAGTTTTTAAAATAAATTAAATCTTAATAAATCATTATTCGTTGTTTTTTACGTACGTGGAAAATTTCTTAAATCTCATTCGTCGCTTTTATGTAGGTGGCAAGTGAATTTTCTAATTCTAAAATAAAATAGAAATCTAATTTTTAATTGGTCAAAAATATATCTTTGCTTATGTGGCGCGCCGAATACTTTATTTATATATATATATTAGATTATTATTATTGTCGTCGTTGTAATAATAGCTTAAAAGAATGAAATTTGGCTTTATATCATTAGCAATATTATTAGACATAAATTAAGACCTGAACTGAACTAAGCTGAACTGAACTGAATTTCAACGAAAGAGAACAAACCTTAGTAGGGTGACCCATTCGTCCATTGTTGCTAACAAGTAACAATGAATGCTAAGGAGGCTAGAGGACCCATTATCACAAATTCACATTATTCTTCTTGAAAAAAAATTTAATCTTTAAAAAGGAAAAATTGAAAGAATCACATTTATGTTATAGTTTAGCTTACTTTATACACCAAACTTAGTAAAGTTAGAGAGAGAAACAAGTTGATCTGATCATCAGAAACCATGAACATGGCGTGTGTGAGCGTAGGAATTGGGATTCCAAAACCATCATTTATCCACCCAAAACCATGGAAATCTGTAGCAATTTCCCCAATTACAAGAAGAGCAGATCTCAGAATTGCAAAATCATCAACATCATCATCATCAGGAGGAGTCGAAGAAGAAGAAGAAGAGAAAAAACTGATAAAATTCGAAGGGACTCGGAGGAGAGAGAAAGAGCTAACAGAGATGATCCAGAAGAAGATTCGAGAAGCTGAAGAGGTTTGTAGCCAAGACAAAACATCCGACGGCTGTAAAGTGGCGTGGGATGAAGTTGAAGAAATCAGCGCCGCTAAATCTCATCTTCGTCTTCAATTGATGCATTCCGGTGATCCTCTTCAGAGTTTTTGTCAGGAACATCCTGAAACTGAAGAATGCCGCACTTACCAGGATTAGTTTGTACGGACTGTTCATTAATTGGAATTACGGTTTAAGTTTGATATCCGTTATGTGTCTCTCTCTACTGTAAAATGTAACGCTGTTTTTATTAATTGTAATCAACAACATCTCTTTTTCTGTTAATTGCGGAGTTCTGTATTATTTCTTATATTCTTCGTATGGAGTATCTACCTCATCACTCATGAGATTTTAACCTAAACTTGATTACTACTGACTCAACCCGACGTCCCGAATTTAGTGGCGGATCCAGGATTCCGCACTAGGAGTAGCACTAAACGCGTACTAGATAAATTAAAGGGACGAAATTCTTTCAAAAAAAAATAAATAAAAAAAAGACGAAATAACAATAAACACCTACGAACTTGAAACTCAAACTAAATTTAAGATGGTAATAACACATCAAGTTAAATAAAATGTTACCATCTATGAGTTATTATTGTGGATAAAATTATGCATGTACAACATACTAGCTATCAAAATATATTTTGTATTACAATGAAATAAAATTAGTCAATTTATCATATATTACTAATTTTCTTCATATATTACTAAAAGGAAGCTTTATTTTCCTGCTTTGCACCGCTGACGCAAATACAACTTTCATGAAATATGCATTGTTTAATACTTATCAACTTTCTAGAAGGAAGTTTTTTTTTATACTACCTTTGTTAACGGTTATTTGCAACATATATTATAAATGGATGCTAACTATTATGTGTAACAAATGTTTTTTTTTTTTCCTTTTTAGGTAATCATTTCTCTCTATTTCTCTTCTCATCACATGCACCCAACTTTTTCTCTCTCCATTTTACTCTTACAAACAAATTTTGCCTAGGAGTCCGCAAATACCCCCTTTGTTGCAAATAATAGTTAACGGAGGAAGTACAATTTTTTTTTCTTTTTCTCGGGGTAGCACGTGCCCCCCGGCCCCCGGTTCCAATGTAGATCCGCCAGTGCCTGATTTAGTGGGGATCAATTGTTAATAGCTGGTCTCGAGACTAGCTAGAGTTGGTTGGTCCCTCAATAAAAAATGAACATTTATCTTGATAAAAATGAACATTTTTTAACTAACTTATTTTACAATAATTTGTATTTCTTAGTAATTAAATGTTCATTTTCATACATTATGATGTTCATTCGTATAAAATAAATGTTCATTTTCTAATTAACAAATTCTACCAATACGAGTACTGAATCACGGTTTCATAGCGTGAGCTCCACCACCATTAACGACCTTAGCTTCACCTTCACCATTAACATTCTCAAAATTATTCCTTTCACTATCATTATTTTCAGCGCCATCAAGGTTTTTGTCATCATCACCAGCTTCTCCACTAGAGATTTTCTTTGTATTCCTCCGTTTCTTCCGCCATTGAAGAAGAAGTATAAGCTTTAATACTCGGACCACCAACTGCACTATCTATCTGGCGAACAAGTTCGCAATAATCCGCTGTCATCGTGTCATCACCGTCGCACCTATAACCTCCGAGCGATTCTGAGATCGCCATAAGAGAGAAACTCGATTTCTAGAAATTTCTTCAAATAATTAAATGTTCATTTCTATTCTAGTAAATGATCATTTTGTTCATAGTAAATGATCGTTTTTATAGTGCGGAACCATAAGAAAATTTGCGGAAAATTATTACCGATAGCCTTTATCCTCTTAACTTATTTGCAAAATATTTTACTCTGTATTAAAACTACTCCGTATTAGTAATACGGAGTAACGTTTTGGGCCTATGGTAACATTAATTCAATCCAAAGCCCACCCTGAAACTAGTACGGTTAATAACAAAATATAATGATGCCATGTCATCACAAAGGAGCATTCTGATTGGTTGAGTGATGCAACATCCACTTTCTCTCTCTTCCTGTAAGCTGTAAGCCTGTAACCGCGTCCTTTCCTCCCTCTTTCTCCTCCTTCTCAGCGAAGGAAATCCCCTTTGATTATTGAAAGGGGTATTTTAGTAATTACGTCATCTTTATATCGGGTATAAATCATGTCCTTCCAATTTCTGTCAACTGAAATAGTAGTAAAATTCTTCTTCTTTCTCTCTCCCTCTAAAAATTGGATTGAAGAAGAAAACGATGCAAAATTCTCGCAATCAATAAAATTTCTTCTACTTTTATAAAATTTTGTAAATATAGGTTTTATTTTTCAATATTTTGTTCTTTTATTGGTTAATAATAGAGTTTTAGTTGAATCAAATTAGGGTTTAATTGAGGATAAAGATGGATGAATTGAATGAAATCGACTGGGATAATTTGTTTCCAGAAGGCGAATTTGAATTCTTCTCAGATGTTCCTCCATCATTGGAAGATGATGCAACAACTGGAATCGCAAAAGAGAATACAATCGAGTCGTGGGTTGAGGAGTTGCTGATGAAGGATGATGAAGAACACGATATTAATCAAGCACAATTAGAATTAAGCAATGATATCTTATGGTATGATATTCTGCTTGATACACCTCAGCCGTCCGATGAACCGGCTTCACTTCCGAATTCGAATTCATCTAGTTGTTCGAATTCCGAGGATAATGTTGCTAAGATAAATAGTAATTGTAGTGGTGGTGATGTCCCCAATTTTGAATCAAATGGTGAGAAATCTGAGAATGATAAATCTGGGGATGATGTTTTGGACCTCGATGATGACACTGATCATGATGATCCCCTCTCCAAGAAACGTAAAAGGTAATCTATACATTTACTTAAATTGAGTATGTTTTGAATTTTGTGTCATAAAATTGTCATGGTTTTAATAGTAACATTTACAATTAAATGTCTGCTGTTTCTTTAATTGTTGAATTTGTAGTTTGCGGTTGCTCAGTCTAAGTTATGTAAAAGTGTCGAATTTTTCCGTTTTAAAATTTGTATATATGTAATTAAAGTGAAATTAATAGTGTACTTTGAAATAGCAATGTTACCTGGACGCATAATATTGGATTGGCATGTGTTTTTTGTGTGGTTCTATTGTGTAATAATGTGAGATGATTGTTGTTCAGACAATTGAGAAATAGAGATGCCGCGATGAGATCAAGAGAAAGGAAAAAGATGTATGTCAAGGATTTGGAGATAAAGAGTCGTTATATGGAAGCGGAATGCAGGAGATTGGGGAGGTTGCTTCAGTGTTGTTATGCCGAGAATCAGATGTTGCGTATTTCCTTGGGCAGTGCGTATGGTGCGTCCATGGCCATTCCGGAGTCTGCTGTGCTCTTGTTGGGTATGAATTTCTCATCTTGCCTTGTCCTGTCTTTATATATATCTGTTCAGATCCTGTTCCTGCAGTTCGCTCCCTTCTCTTGTAAGACCGTGATCATAGACTGGCTAGCGTCTTGTAATTTTTGTAAGAGTATATGTATTGCTTAATGTTTACCCCTGATTTTTGTGATGTACCAACCGAAATAATTGAAATTCAGTTGCTCATCTTGACATTCTTCTTCCCCATTGAGTTAACCTACAACGCTCAACTTGACATTCTTCTTCCCCATTGAGTTAACCTACAATGCTCAACTTGACATTCTTCTTCCCCATTGAGTTAACCTACAATGCTCAACTTGACATTCTTCTTCTTGATTTCCCTTTTTTGGTTGCATACTTGCATAGAAAGACGTTGAAAAAATCCATACATTTGTACTCCATAACAGATATGTGAAGTTAGGTTCACCCTTGCATCTGATCCTTTTTCTCTATGTTTCTGCAGCACTGACTGTTTATACTCTCCACTTCTTTTGTCCTTGCTTGAGCATGTGTCATATCATTTTAGAAATTGTTTTGTCATTCCTGGTTTTCTAGCTCCCTCACCTTTGTATGCTGGTTTGACAGAATCCCTGCTGTTGGTTTCCCTGGTTTGGTTAATGGTCAACATATGCCTGCTGCCCCAACTGCGCCTGCAAAATCAGGACGCAGTTCCACACGAAAGCGTGGAGAGAAAAGAACGGGAAAGCGCAACACTAAAAAGAAAGAGAATGAAGGTCACTGAACTGTGTGTGACCCTTTCTTTCATGAGGAGTAAGAGATGCAGAGCTTCAAGGACCAAGATGAAGTCTGATTTTGAACATACTACTGTGTTATGCAACTGAAATCCTTTCTCCGATGCTTCCAGTTTTTATGGTATTGCTGGAGAAAGCTGGTTCTCAGCCTTAACTTTTACATAGGATGTAGGGAGAGGTACTCTACTGGAAAGTGTGTTTAGGAAGTGATCTCCTTCCCCCCTCCCTCCCCAACCTCTTTCAGGTTCCCCGATGTTTCATATCAGTAACACCTTAATACTAGTGTAACAAACTATCTTTTTTGTTTTGATTTCTTTCTCTTTCTCCCCTTCCTGTATGACCTTCTCTGCGCTCTCTTGTGAAATTTCAGGACGGTTTATCCTTGTATTAAGTATAAGATTTTCAAAATTCATATTATTGTCATTAACACTTTTGTTTGGCTATGTGTTAGTTCAAGTATAGATTGAAAGCAACTGTGTGGTAAGTCTGGTAGAGTCTACCAATGATTTTAGAGCAAATACTTGATTAAACTTTTATGGAGCTGAAGAAATACTTGGTCGTTACGATGAGATCGACACTTGGTACTGCGTGGAAGATAGGATTTTAAATCAATGCAATGAGTGTTGATTGAAAAATTATCAGGCAGACAATTGTTTCAGTTATAATCTTAATTGTGGAAATTGGAAACAAGGGAATGAAGCAGCATTAGCAGTTCCAGTTTTTAAAAGATTAGGTGATCCTTAGTTGAGAAAGTTAGGTGAAGTTGGAACTTGGAAGTTGATTGGTTGGTTGGTGAAATAGGTATCTTTTGACTAGGAGGCAGGAGCTGGGTCTTTATTCAGAAAATTCTTGTCATCTCTGGATATTCTATATCCAACAAAAGGATTCTCTTTATTTTTGAGTAATTTTTGCTTTTTCAATTTTTTTTTTTTTTTTTTTCCCAAATACTTTATTGCCCTTTGTTTTTTTATTTTTATGGTAAGAAAAACTTTTATCAAATTAGCACATCTTTGATTCTCTCCTCTTTCTTCTATTGCCGATTGTTGAATAAATCTTAACCTCCATTGTCGATTGTTGAATAAATCCTTAGCCTTCATTTTCGATTGTTGAAGGAATTTTGATCGATTTTAACCTTTTAATTGGTGGAAGGCCCCCCATAATCTTGGTTTCTTAAGGAAACATGTTTGTTTGATTAAATTTCTTAGGCATTTGTTAAAATCGAATCCTTGTGTATATGTCATATAACTTTGTATTAATAGTATAGCTTTTTATTAATGAATTAATATTACGGAGTACTATCCAAAAAACAAATATAAATAACACATCTTTTTATTAAATTTTGTCAACTATTTCTTTAGAATAATTAATTAATGAATTAGATATCATTAAATTCTTAATAAATTTAAATAAAAAAAATCTAAAATCATCAACAATGTAAATAAAATGAAGAAAAAACACACAATGACAAACAAATAATGTGTTATTATGTGCCAAGATTGCCAACAATATAACTTTCAAGCTTATCAATAACTAATACTTGGTATATCTAATCTAATCTAATATATATAAATAAAGTAGGCATTTTTGAAGAGCATTTGCGGTGCCACTAAGTTCTTATTTCGACCAATTAAAAATTAGATTTGTATTTTATTTTAGAATTAAAAAATTTAATCGTCACCTAAATAAATTGATTAATATATAAAAAAAAATACCAAATTAAGTCTCACTTAAATCCGAAGTAGGGGTGTACAAAAGAAAAGTTGTAATTGTTAATAGGTATAAACGACACGTTTTTTTTATAGGTTTACTATGCCATTAAAAATAAACAAATATGGTTAATTGAATTGGTTAAATTACCTGTTAGTGGTTATAATCACATTTATAAATTTATATAAATTGTTTTTGAGAGCTCATAATAATATTACATTTTTTTATTATGATATACAAGTTTTATTGTTTACTCTAAAAATTTTGAGCAACTTTGAAGTGTAAGATGTTTTAGTGGCTAGTCATTGAATAATTGGAATTTGGATTTTATTTATTTTTGTTTTGGAGCATTGATTTTGTCAAATAATGTTACAGCAATATTGTATATCTATCAATTTGTCATATTCAAAATCTATACTACTATATATCAAAAGTGTTTCGTCACAAGTCTACATATCACATGACACTGTTTCTCGACTTTCTTTTTTTTTTTCATTTTTTTTAATCGGCTAATGGCTATTAATCTGTGTCATTACGCATTAAACCATTGAATTACACCTCGATATGAGTCTTTAGTAGCAAAATAAACTACTTTTTTGAATCATGAATGTTATGCACAATTATTATGATACAAGATTAAAATCATGTATACTAATCACAATCATTGTAATACATATAGTAACTCGACCACTTAGGGCATCACTCGAGCCTAGAAAACTAGTTAGGGCTTGTTCCCATTGACTGAAATCAGCTGAACTGAACTGAAGTTACTGAACTGAGCTGAGCTGAACTGAACTTAGTAATTAGTGATTTTTAACTACGGATTAGTGATTTTTAACTACGGATTATTATTATTATTATTTTATTATTATTATTATTGTCGTTGTAATAAGAGCTTAAAAGAATGAAATTTGGCTTTATATCATTAGCAATATCATTAGACATAAACTGAACTGAATTGAATTTCAACGTATGAGAATAAACCCTTACTCCTTATTTTATTAAACAAGTAGCAGTTAACTTGTAACTGTAACGTTAAGAAACTATTAACCTTTATAAAGTTAATTATTATGAAGTAATCGATATTTTTTTTTCCTAACAATATTAATTAGGAAAAATTAAAAATAACTTCTTTTATTAAAGTCCTTTATTTTTTGAAAAACCAAATCGAGTATCTTATTAAAGAGCTCTTTCCCAAATTAAGGTCAAGAAGAACCGCAATTCCCAAATTGCAGCCAAAGTTTTAAGTTTTCCCATTCTACCGTCCACGTAAGCACTGGTTAAAAAACCGGTTTTTTTTTCCGGTCCAGGGTAAACCGCTACTTCAAGTAGCGGTTTCTTTGCAATAAACCGCCACTTCAAGTAGCGGTTTCTTAGTTTAAAACCGCTACTTGAAGTAGCGGTTTGTTTACAAAAAACCGCTATTTAATGTAGCGGTTTATTTTGGAAAACCGCTACTTCAAGTAGCGGTTTTAAACTAAGAAACCGCTACTTGAAGTAGCGGTATACCCTGGACTGGTTTTTTTTTCAAACTTGCATAATCACTCAAAAAAAAAACTTGCAAGTTGTGTACCTGTAAAACATGAGATATATAGCATATTTTCAACACAACCACCATAAATAACAAGTTTATGAAGATCTAAGGAAGTCGAAATTGCAAAGTCGAATATTTTTCAATTGATTAAATATAACAAAATCCAATTCTAAGCATTTACAAAAAAATTAGTTTAGTTCCAAAATATACACTTAGCTCGGGCGTTGCTTCTTCCCATGAGGTGACGATGAAGATGATGCAGCTGTCTCCTCTGGAATGTCATCCAGGCCAACTCCAACCCCAGACGTAGTGTTGCTACGCCGTCGGTTTCTCTGATACTGGCGATGCACTAGTGGAGGAGATGTCATGATAGTATGCTGAGAAGGAGTCGGTGGACGGAAGGCACGTGCTGAATGGCCTCCACGATGAGGTGGTGGTCTGATCGGCATAGTGTGCACAGTAGAAGATGAAGACGTGGACGGTCGAGGCTGCTGAATAAGGTGTGACTGCCCCACCCTAGACAAGGTTTGGCCACAAAATGATGTAAAACCCTGCATCGTCTGTATGGCAAATGGTATAGCCGTCTCTGGTGGCAAGTGGGAGATGGTCTCAGTAGCTCCCGATAGCTGGAGGTGCAAATCAGCAAATGCATGTGCCTACATTTAAGTGTAGTTTTAATGTTAGTAAAATGAAATCAAAAACGTAAGAACTAGATTGAAATGAAGTGAAGTTCATACAAGCAGGAGGTCCGAGGTAGCTGGCTGGTAATGACTCGGGGGGCGCTCCTGCGAAGGTGGAGTAATGACCAGTCTCGTGATGCGACGGTACCAAGCCATGTACTCTGTCATGGCCGGGGAAGAAGTCCCAGTGAACGGGTATCCCTGGACGACTAATGCCTCTCGTCGACTCCACTCGTGTACATGGTCCGAATGCCGAATCTCCCAATTACGCTGTCCCCTTCGATCCTTCCTGTGTAGAGCAACGTCCGTGTCTACATCCTGTGGGATCGGCTGGTCTAACCCGAACTGACGAAGGACTCGGTCTGGGAGGTGGAACTCAACGACGTCAAAGCATATCAGAGTGCCCGTGAACGCCAAATGTGCATGTCTGAGCGACAAATCTCCGGAAGTCGATCCATCACCGCCTCAGTATATGGCTGCCAAATCATCTAATTCCCAAAACAAGTATGTCAACATGTATATGACTAACATAATGGAAGAAATACAATGCACAAAAAAAAAGAAACACCGATTGTACCTGGTCCTCGCGCTGATGGTCAAACGCATCTCTGTAGTATGGTAGTCCAGAAGCAGTATGCGCACACGATAGATGGACACGTAACCACCTGTAAAGACATGTTAATAATAATTCTTGAAAGATAGAATTGTAAGAACATGAACTTGAAGCAAACATTGTACCTGCACGCCAAAGGGTCAACACCTCGCTGATGCTGAGTCCCCAAAATGTCATCCTCATCCTCAGCCTCAGGGTCCTCCTGTGGCGGATCTCGAGGCCTCCTAATGTATGGTCGGCCAATAGTAATATGCTCCCACGACCACAACTGTAGTAGGATGAGCGGGCCTCCAATCTGTCTTGAATCTCGCTGACATCCTCGACATAGCTGCCGATACAAAAAACCAAGAGTCGCACTCCCCCAGCTGTAGGTCGAAGTTGTCCCCCAGTCTCGAAGGAACGACAAGTAGTAGAGTGACACAGCATCGCCACTCTTGTCGGCGAACAGAATAGATCCCATGAGAGTGAGAATGTAAGCACGGCTATGGCGCTGAACTGTCAAGTCATCAGCTCCCTCTGGCATCTGTGAGAAGTGACGTCTGAGCCACGTCAACTTCAAAGTAGATCCCTCCAGAAACGGCTTACCGTTATCATCATGGCCAGGTCGAACTCCCAGCAACTCCTCAACTAGGTCATGCCATCCCTCAAATGGAGGTCCAATGACAGGAGGGCCGTGCACTCTCAGACCTAACAGGACGGAGACATCCTGTAAAGTAATGGTGGCCTCACCTACCACTAGGTGGAAAGTATGTGTCTCCTGCCTCCACCTCTCAACCAACGCCGTAAGAAGAGATCGATCAAGCAAAAACCCTCCTCCCAAAATCCTATGTACACCGTAAAACCCAGCAAGCCTAACGTACTCTAGTACTCCGCCATCTACCCTCCACTCACGTCCCACGCTGACCATATGCTCCCTAACTGAGAGAACTCTATCAGCTACGCCACTCCAAACATCGTGGCTCCTATGGAAAGTCTGCAAGCGTAGAACAGATGGATCAACTGGGCCTGGACGAATCACCGGCTCCATGGGACCTACACGATAACAAAAAATTGAATTAATGTTAAGCGTTCGAGAAAAAACATAAATATTAAACAAGAATATATAATTAATCATGTTACCCAGATGATCCAAATCCACCAATAAGAGTAGGACATGTCTTCTTGTTATGCCCAGGTCGCCGACAAACACTGCATGCCTTCTTCACACGATTGGGACGCTCATCCATTTCATTTCGAATTCTAGTGGACCGTCGGCCTGGGCCTCTTTTCAAATCTGGGTTGGCAATAGTAGTAGGACCATTGTAAGCTAACCAGTGGCAAGGATCAGGAACTGGTGCGAAACACTTCGCGTATGAACGCCTGTATTCGGCGGTCATGAAAAAAGAATCCACAAAGTCTGCATGTGATAGGCTTCTATGACGACAAACTGCTAGTACATGAGAGCATGGGAGCTTGTATATTCTCAATTTCTCACAAGTACATGTCTTGCTCAACAGATTCACAGTGTGGGAGTTACCACCTTTACCAGCTTTTCTTCTTCCACGACCGGTCCTAACCTGATACAACCCGATGGCATCATAGTCAAAAGCAACAACCTCATGGTGCGCGGCTTTCTCCATGTTGGCTTCTATTGTCTTCTTAGCCTTTTCCGATAACTCATGGCCCTCTTCAAGTCTTCTTTTACTCCAACTTCTTCTAGTTGCAAAATAGGAGTTAACCCGGAAAAAGGTCATTTGCACTAAAGCGGTTATCGGGAGACATCGAGCCCCCTTTAAGACTCCGTTGAAAACTTCCGACATGTTTGTAGTCTTCACACCAAACCTGAAACCACCATCATGATGAATGGACCACTTACTGTACGGAATTTCCATCAAGTACCTACGGGCCTCTACATTCAAGTCACCAATTTTGTTGATGTAGTAATCAAACTTCTTCTTCTGCCTTGCAGTAGCTGCTTTGCCAAAGAGGTTCTTTATGACGACACTTTTAAATTTTGAGTTCACATTAGAAGCTAAGTGTCGTGTACAGTACTTGTGGTAGGCATTGGGCTCCTCCCAACCACTTCCAACTTCTTCCATTGCTGCTAAAATACCAGCATGTCTGTCAGATATCACACATAGCCCTTTCCTATCTGTAACTCGAGCACGAATACAAGCCATGAACCAAGACCAACTATCATTGTTCTCTCCTTCGACAACCGCAAAAGCAAGGGGGAATAGTTGAAAATTGGCATCCGTTCCCATAGCAATGAGTAGAGTGCCTTTGTATTTGCCATATAAATGAGTGCCATCAATGGTGATAAGGGGTCTGCAGTGACGGAATCCATCAATACATGGCTTGAATGCCCAAAAGACTCGTTGAAAAACATGTGTTCCAGGAACCGTACACTCTAACAACCTCCACTCAACAACAGTTCCAGGATTTGATTCCTTGAGAGCTTGCATGTACTTAGGCAACTGTTCATATGAACCCTCCCAACCCCCATAAATGAGTTTTATTGCCTTTTGTTTCGCTAGCCATGCTCTCTTGTAGGTTATTTGGAATCCATCAAATTTCTCTTTCACAAGTTGCACCATTGTCTTGATTTTCAATGAAGGATCAACGCGAATGACATCTAGAAGAGCATTGCAAACGAACTCGGAAGTCAGTAGCTTATGATCTCCCGAGTCGATGTCACCAACACAGTTACTTGCATGAGGGCCGTTGTACCTCACAATTTTAAACGTAGAGAGTGTTGGATCTTTCACTCCTCTAAGCCTCCACGAACAACTACATTGTTCTTTCCTCTTGCACTCAACAACATATTTCTCTGGCTCTGCCTCCACAACTCGAATTGTTTGATTTCTAGCTATGGAGTAAGATTTCACAGCATCTTTCAGTTGTTGCAATGAGTCAAACTGCTGACCAACCTCAAATTCCCCCCCATTGTTATATGTCTCATTTCCTAACCAAGACATCCATGAGTTATTCAAACGAGGATCAACTTGCGCCACTTCATTGAAGTCTGAAGTGGGGGTGCTTCCTTTAATTGCCTTATCACGAGCTTCAATTACCTCTTCATCATCATCTTCATCAGTGTCATTCATCTCTGCATCGCCAAATACATCAACATTGTTTGGGTCAAGAGAATCAAGAATGCCTTGTGGTTGTGTGCTTGTCGAGGTTCCAACATTAGGCGATGAGGCCGGAGACCTAAACTGTGAGAGATGGTCATTGACATAATGTGGATCAACAAGCATTCTTGTGAATGACCCTATGCCCACACTTTGAACACCAGTGGAAAACGGTTGATCCACACTACCAAAAAAATCCATCCCCGGAAAGGAACCAGTGTTAGTTTGCACAACTGGCTCCTTTGGAACTTGTTCAATGAACAATTGCATTGCAACAGAAGAACTCTGAGTCACAGCAATCCACATAGCTCTAACAGCGTTGTCGTCATTTAACGGAATTGCAACATATGCCCCAGCCATAGGATAACGCATAACCACCTTCAACTCCACACCTCTAGGATCAACACTCAATTCTTCATATAGCTTGTTCAGAACTTGTGAATATGTCATCGCAGAATGTACAAACACAAATTTTTGATTCCCACCCCTATACGTTATATCGCTATCTTTGTGGACAATTTCTCCACCCCAATAGCAATATAGAGGGTAGTTCGGAACCTCCATGTTTCATTCTAGAAAAGACCATTATTAATCAAAGATATTAGATTGCAAAAATTCATTAACAGTGTGGCAATGTCCTAACATCAAGCAAGCAAACTACACAATTATAGCAACCTAAACTGAGCTATGAAGGTCTTAATACCTCTTGAAGCTCAACACGGGCATAAGTCATGACTACATGTACTTTGAGCTCATGTACTTTGTGTATAGAAGCTCTATTTTCACTTTCAAAATCAGCAATTATAGCAACCTAAACTGAGTAATGTGATCGAAACCATTAATAATTCTACAAGGGTTATATGTAAGGTAAGTAAATCAACAACAACAACCAAAACCAACCACAAACATACATACAATTCTGAAACTCAATAACAACAACAATAAACAAGAACACTAACAACAACAACACAACCAAAACCGAAACTCAATAACAACAACAATAAACAAGAACACTAACAACAACAACACAACCAAAACCAACAACAACAACACATACATACAATTATGAAACTCAATAACAACAACAAACTCAATAACAACAACAAACCCAATAACTGAATACAAAAAATAATTAGGGCACTTACCACAAACAAGAAGATCAGCACGTTTCTTCTGAAATTAGCGAAGCCGACCACTAAAGTCGAACCCTCGGCGTCAACAGCGGCGGCCTTCGTTGCTGAGGAATGCTCCGGCGGCGTCGGTGGATTCCTTGGCTGCGCCGGCTTCCGTTGAAGGAGGTGTGATTTTGGTGGAAGGCGTGGATGGGATTTTGGTGAGAAGACGAAAATGAAAGAGGAAAGTGAAATCGGAAAATTATACCTGCTAGAAAACCGCTACTTGAAGTAGCGGTTTATTAAACAAAAACCGCTACTTGAAGTAGCGGTTTATTAAAAAGAAACCGCTACCTGAAGTAGCGGTTTATTAGTAAAAACCGCTACTTCAGGTAGCGGTTTTGCTGTAGACCGGATTTAAAATTTCTTCCCCCTGAACCGGTGACGTGGACGGTACTTTGGGAATTCTTAAAACTTTGGCTGCAATTTGAGAATTGCGGTTCTTCTTGACCTTAATTTGGGAAAGAGATCCTTATTAAACTCAAAACACGTCAAATAATAATATGTTTCTTAAGCAAGGGGTTGTTTGGGTTAGAGGTAGTTGAAGTGGACTTGGGTTGTATCGCCGATATAAAAAGACGAAGCCGAGAGAAACAGAGAGCACACTGCACCACCATAATTATTGGTTAGGTAAAACACACTGAAACAGTCGACTTCAACCCAAAACTAAAACTATGGATTCGGATTTCGGAATTCCCAGAGAACTCTCTGACCTTCAAAAACAACGTTCTCTTTACCAGCCTCAACTTCCGCCTTGCCTTCAGGTCTTTTCTCTCTCTTAATTCTGAGCTTTTTTCGGAATTTTTTCAAAATTATTTTGATTTTTTTTTCAAGTTATTTTTGGTTTTGAGTAGCCTGATTTCTGATTTGTGATGCAGTAGTGTAGATCGCTTGATACATATATATTTTTAATTCCGAAATATTTTTGATTGGATTATGTAGTGTTAATGTTGATCAATGTATACTAATTTGAATAAATCTCGCTTTTACAGATCGGATTATTTATTTTCTGATTAGATTATTGATTTTTTATTTTTATTTTCATTATACATCACTTCCATTGAGTGATTATTTAATCAAGCAATGTAATGAATGGATCGTCAAATACTTGTATTGAAGTTCTTTTTAAAAAAATTGTTTGATCCAATGTTGGATTGGTTGATTCAGCGTTGTAAATATATACTCACTCATTCGATTTAGATTTTTTATATTATTTAATTACTATATAGTATTCTATGTTATTTAACTGATTTGTTCAACTATTTTTTTTTCTTTAATTGCTACATTCTTGTTTGGTAGGCAGTAATAAATGGCGGTAGTGTCGACTAATTCAAATCTGATTTGTGAAATTGTCCTTTACATGGCAAAGGAACTCTATCCCCAAGTTTTTATTTTTTAAAATAAAATAAAATGTTATCACGACTCAATGTCATATCTCATATATCATATAAAGGGTTTGTTTGGTATGATGGGAGTAATGAAATGGAATCATATGAGAGAGGGAGGATGAGGGTAACAAGTGGGAGGAATTTATGAATCATTAGTCATTACCCTCAAGTAAGGTAAACAATGGAATCATATGTTATCGCGTTGCAAATCTTTATATTAATCATTCATCAAATTATTTGGATATATGAAGTCTTATATCCAGTCCAACTCAAGTCAATGAAAGCAATGGAGTTTTACTCTAGTTAAATATTCTAGTGTGTGGAACTTGTTTTCCTGAAAAATTTGTAAGTGGGTATAGAAAATTTTCTGCACCATGATTCATATTTATTAAGCTTTGTGCTTCATTTGACTGATCTTTTTCACCATGAATTGTGCAGGGAACTACTGTAAGGGTAGAATATGGTGACCGTACCACTGCTATAGATCCTGCTGATGCTCACGCCATCAGCCGGTATTATCCTCACACATTTGGTCAACCCTTGGCTCATTTCCTCAGGGCAACTGCTAAGGTCCCAGATGCACATATTATTACTGAGCATCCAACTATCAGGTGTGTAATTTCATACTTTCTTCCTTTCTTGGTATCGTGATTTTACTTTCAGGGATTGTCAGAAACAGAAACAAGTAGTAATGCTTTCTAGAAAGATAATGCTGTTAGATTAAGTCTATCTTATGTAACTAAACTGTCAATGTCTTGCTGGTAACTTATATGTCCAATTGCATGTAAGTTATCTTTCTATCACTTTCTAGACTTGCGTTTTGATTCCTGCAACCAGTTTTAAACTTGCTATTTGATATTTGATGTAAGCAATTGATATTCCTTGCGCATATAACATTGCAATAGATACAAATATAAGAGTTTAATTAGGAATCCTCTCTTTTAAATGAGTCCAAATTAGTATTTGAGTGGCTCAATTACATATATGTGTATATATTATTTATTTATTTATTTATTTATTTATTTATTTATTTATTGTTATATTACGGATTATGATTGGGGTTCCTGTTAATCATGCTATTTTTGATCCTTTTTTTGAGCAGGGTGGGAGTTGTCTTCAGTGGGCGACAATCTCCAGGAGGACACAATGTTATATGGGGTCTTTTTAACGCTCTCAAGATACACAACTCAAACAATGTTTTGCTTGGATTTCTAGGTAAAAGGAACTATTAGTTATGGGCTGTTAAAGAATTAATTTCCGACTCTTGTTGAGTGGAGCACGGTTTTCTTTCAGCTGTTAAAGATGATGTAAATGTGTTTACTTTTCAGCATCCCATCCCCCATATATCTAATTTCCATACTAAATTGGCTGCTAGAATTTGGGGAAAACTAAATAATTGGATGGTGCAAGAGAAACTCTTTCTACCAAGTTAACATGAAATCTGAGATGCCTAGAAACATTTTTCATTTTATTTTATTGGTATCTTAACAACCCTTTCACGATGGGTGAAGCAGTCTGTATTCGCTTGAGAGGTTTTTCACATCTGTTGTATAATCAAGGGGCATTTAGGTCTATAGGATGTTGATGGCTGATGTTGATCATATTGTTGGAGAATCTTGATGTGGTGGATAACTTATGCTTGGCCCCTTCTATGTCCAAGTGTTGACATTGGGCTGTAAAAGACTAAAAGGTGGTTGTTACATTCACTGTGGTTCATTGTCTTTTGTTAGCGCAGTTGCTTGTTACATCTGTAGGGATGGATCTGTGACTGTGTAGACTGTGTATGTTTTCTCAATGGAGAAATCCTATCCCTTTTCTTTTACTTTTTGGTCGATTTCTGTTACTGTCATTAGTTTGCAGCTATATGCTATATGGAAGCTGAGTGCTGGACATAGATTGTTATACTTTGGTGCCCCATGGACAAGAGAAATGTTTTTACTTGTGACTAGTCTTTGTAGTTAGAGCTGGACATAGATTGCACTTCTTTGATGCCCCATGGACAAGAGAGATGTTTTTACTTGTGGCTAGTCTATGTAGTTAAGAGTTGTAGCTGTTTGTTCATATCGCTATTGAGTAGGGTCTTGTTGTTGCATCATGCTGCCATATTTACCTTGTTATGGTTTTTATGGTCTTGCTGGAAAAATGTTATTTACTAAAAGCCAGTGTACTTTTGCCTCATGCAGGTGGTACAGAGGGTTTATTTGCCCAAAAGACTCTTGAAATAACTGATGAAATCCTGTCTACCTATAAAAACCAAGGTAAGTGTTTTCATAGGATTTTATCCATAAGAAACCTTCTTAACTGGAATTTTATACTTTACATTTACTTGATTTTTCAAGGTGGTTATGATTTGCTGGGAAGGACTAAAGATCAAATAAGAACAACCGAGCAAGTTAATGCTGCATTAGCTTCGTGCAAGGCTTTAAAGCTGGATGGTCTTGTTATTATTGGAGGTACTTCTAGTAGAAAGTTTTCCCCAAAAGACTAAATTCAGCTCAATGGAGTTGTTGGTAATCATTTTTCTTTTTTTCTTTTGAAGGTGTAACATCAAATACTGATGCTGCTCAACTTGCTGAAACGTTTGCTGAGGCAAAATGCTCAACAAAGGTGCCTCAACTTTATCGATGCATTTCCTTTGTTAATTTTTTTGCTGGTGTCAATCGTATGGCTATATGCTATAATTAATTGTGTAGATCACTTATATCACTTTAGCCAGATACAAAATTTGATGCTATGATAATATTGTCTTCAGTTCTTCACTCTTTCTCTTAAGGCCTACATGGTCCAATTCCTATACATGTGCCTAATGATCTCAATTTAACTATCCAATATTATTTGGGAATTGCAGGTGGTCGGTGTTCCAGTTACCTTGAATGGAGATCTAAAGAATCAGTTTGTTGAAGCTGATGTTGGATTTGATACCATATGCAAGGTATTGATCTGCTATCTAAGATTTCATGAGTTAAGATATAGTTCCTGCTAAATTTCATTGATAAAAAAAATGGTTTTACACTTGTGTACTACACCAAACACATGAAAGAGAATGACATGGTCACAAACAAACTAGGCATGCACATTTCAGATTTCATTAATTTGATCTGGTGTGTTGATTGATACTTTGTGATCTAAACCATTGAGGTGTTGGAGTGCATGCAATCTATATTTTTTTCTCTTTCTTTTTTTCCCTTTATATTACTAATGAAAGCCCCTAGTTTTTTTTTGAAGGGGTTTTAAGAGTGGAATTGTTGATTAATGTTGAATACTAAAAAGTAGTGAGAGTTTTAAGGGGAGCTGAGAGAAAATATTGTGGGATTTGAGGGGTTTTGTTGATTTTATGTCAATAACAAAAGAAGATAGTGGATGATAGATCCCACTGAAATGAGAATTGGGGCTACTACTTAGGGAAATTAATTTCAATGGAGCCTTTTCATGGATGGAGGGTGTATTATTATTCATTTCCTTTAAGGCCCTAAAGTTTTGTATACTTGAAGTGGGCCTACTACTTAGGGAAATTAATATTTATGGAGCCGTGGATGAGCATTTGTGCTAGTGATTTGATAATGCAGGATGGAGTATCTAAATGAATTTTATCATGTCTAGTGCTGCAATTTAAATTCGCTTTTGGTGGCTTTCCTATTTCTTGTTTTGTTGTGTTAGGGTTAACACACACGCTTATAACTCCAATGTAGAAGCTTTGGAAAATCCTGGTTGAGGGCAGATAGAGTGCACTGAGTTATAGATGAAGGCAGTAGGCTTGTGCCTTTTTGTGTTGTCATTTCCATTGCAGTGATTCATTTTATTTGGATTTGAACTATCATTATCTAGAATTGTTCTTGTTTAATATTTTTGACCTTTACTGTTAATTTATCTCATTGTTCTTGCTTTTTTTAGGTTAACTCTCAGCTCATTAGCAATGTTTGCACAGATGCGTTGTCTGCTGAGAAGGTAATTTTTTCTACATGTTGATTTTCTACTATCAGTAAGTTGTTTAGAAATAATAATATTGTTTTCAAAATGAGATATCTTGCAAATTCTGATAAGTCAAATAGGGTGATATTGTTGGTGTATGTACCACCTATACTATAGTGCTGGTAGGCTAATGACATTTATAATCCAGCAGCTTTTAAATAGTTTTTGGGGTACTGGAATTTTTGTTTGGGGTGAGGTTTTGTAAAAATTTGGAATGTTCTGTTTTGCGATTGATTTTAATTGAATTTGCTGGAGGTTCAGCGAGTTTGGGGCTTAGGAATCTCTCTTAATTGGATGCATGCTTATTGCTCAGAATTATGTCTTCTTTGGAAGTCTGCTTCAATCAATTTGCTTTGTGTTGGGTGTTTCTTAATAGTAGCTGACTTATTATTTTGTGGTTCTCTATAAGTAACTTATACAGCATATGAACACGTACTTCAAAAGCTTTGTATTTTTACTAATCCTAAAATTAAACCCTTTACACTCAAGGATATTTATTATTGTCTGAAAGGCTCATCAATGTGATTTCTTTTCCAAATTTCCAGTATTATTATTTTATTCGGCTGATGGGCAGAAAGGCGTCACATGTTGCTTTGGAATGCACTCTCCAGTCACATCCCAATATGGTCAGTTTCTTTGTCTGCACTACTAATACAGTCCTATTTTTCTCATTTCTATCATAAATGGGGGAAAATTGCCTGTTAGATGTAAAGCAATAAGGGTGTATCTCGGTGTTTTATTTAGGTTATTCTTGGTGAGGAGGTGGCTGCGTCAAAACTAACTTTATTCGATCTGACAACACAAATCTGTGATGCAGTCCAAGCCAGAGCAGAAAAAGGTCCAGTGTTTCCCCTCTCACTCAATTACGTTGATAGATTTGCTGCTTTCTGATTCTTTTGTTGTTATTTTTGTATTGCAGACAAGAACCATGGGGTTATCCTGCTTCCAGAAGGGCTTATTGAAAGCATTCCTGAAATTTATGCCCTCCTGCAGGTATAAAAGTAGAGGGTGCATGGTTGAAACCTTATCTTCTATAAATGCCTTTCTTTGCTTTGGTTTAAAGAGCAAAGTATTGAGTTTGGAACTTTGGATATCTTTATCTTGTTTTATATATGTTAAGGTGTTATAGACTAAGGCTGATTCACTCGATAATACTCATTAGTAAGAGAAGGACTAATTTTTCATTGAACTGATTAGTGGAAGGGATACATAGTAGCTTGAGGCTACAAATCTCCTAGCAACTTGAGGTTGCAACTCTCCAAATTTTCCTCACTAATTTCTGCCTGCCTTTTCCACTAACACTAGCCATACTACTTATACTAAGATGGTCAAGGATGACCTTAAGGCTTAACATGTGAAACTTAGCTAATATAGAAAAACATAAATAAACATCCTAGGACTAAGGTTGCTTCCTTTCCTTCTCCTCTTCTTAATTGATTTTGTCCCTTGCTCTTTGTGGTTTGTGTTGTTGATACCCGTGTTTGACTCTTTTAGCGTAGACCCGTATATGTGGCTGACCCCCCCCCCCCCTAAAGCCGGTCTATTACATAAGGTCCCTTATGCATGTTTTCCATGATGCCATGCAGGAAATTCATGGTCTTTATCGAGGAGGTGTATCTATTGACAATATTTCTTCTCAGCTTTCTCCCTGGGCATCTGCCTTGCTGGAGTTTTTGCCACCTTTTATTAAGAAACAGGTACCAAACTCTTACATACGTCACTTTTTGATTGGAGATTTCTGTCTATAGTATTGAGTCATGTTTCGTTTCTTTATACTGGGTTTCTTATTTTGCAGTTGCTCCTCCACCCTGAATCAGATGATTCTGCTCAGTTGTCACAGGTGCTGGCTTGAAGCCTTTGGTCCTTTTAAGTGGTCTCACTACTAGCAGTTTTAATTCAAAAATGATCTAATTTAATTGTTTATGCAGATTGAGACCGAAAAGCTTCTAGCTCATCTTGTGGAGACAGAAATGAATAAGCGTTTGGTATGAAATCTTATTGGAGAAACTGTCATGGGTGGAGTATTTTATGTTATTTTCTAGATCTTAATGTAATTAAAGCCAAAAAAAAAAAAAAAAAAAAAAGTGTACTAGCTTCTATTATTGTCCCTAACTTTCAGGCTGTTTATAATTATTTAGTCACATTTTTCAATTAATATGCTCAAGTGGATGTTGAATTACTAGGCTTGTTAATTGGTTTCCTGTAGTCTTTAATTGCCCCTCTCCTCTTTGGCAGAAAAAAGGCACATACAAGGGAAAGAAATTTAATGCCATCTGTCACTTTTTTGGATATCAAGCTCGTGGATCTCTACCATCGAAATTCGACTGTGACTATGCATATGTACGCCCTGATTCTAAAATAGACTCAGATTTTAGTGGTATGCGAAGGATTATATTTTGGTTACAATTGAATGCATCTGACAATTGAATGTATCTGTACAGGTTCTTGGTCACATATGCTACCATGTCCTTGCGGCTGGCCTGAATGGTTACATGGCAACTCTTACCAACCTTAAAAATCCTGTGAATAAGTGGAAATGCGGTGCTGCTCCATTGACAGTAAGGCTTGATTCCTATCTGCTCATTTTACTGCTGAATAAATTGTTCTTTCAGCTTATAGCTATAGTGTTTTCAACGTTTTGTTATTTTTGAACTGTGTAACATTAAAATATTAAAGCTTATTCATTGCTTTATGATGAACCCAGGCAATGATGACTGTTAAACGTTATTCACGTGGTCCTGGTACATTGTCTATTGGAAAACCTGCTATTCATCCTGCAACAGTGGATTTGAAAGGCAAAGCTTATGAGTAAGTCTTTCTTGTGGCTGTAATTTTGGTTGTTGCAGATGTTCTTGCAGTGATAACTTTCCATGAACACATGTTCCTACAGTTAGCCCTCAGGATAAGAAAGGGTACCGACTAAATGGGTTAATTACTCGTATTTCTTAATCAATTGATCAACTTGTATTAATACTTGGACTCTATAATTTTAACTACTGCATAAATATGTATGTCGTATCAATGACAAATTGTTTAGTCATTGGATATCATTGAATAGTAGGAATCCAAGTTATAATAGGATTTTCTACACCCTATATATGTTGTAAAATCGATAAGATCTGATCTTGATTTTTTTTGTTGTCCTTTGCAGGCTTTTGAGACAGAATGCTTCTAGGTTTTTGATGGAAGATATCTACAGAAATCCAGGTCCTCTTCAATTTGATGGCCCTGGTGCTGATGCTAAGGCTGTTAGCTTGTGTGTGGAAGACCTGGATTATATGGGCCGTATCAAGCAGCTGCAAGAATATTTAGACAAGGTATATCATCCTTTCACTCCACTTATAACTCTTATAGTTTCATGCTTATGTCGCCATGTATCCACTTCATTGGTTGGTAATTTTGGAGTATAAATGACCTTCTGTCTGTATTCCTAGACACTTAGCTATCTGAGGAATATAATCTGTTGGAATTCTACCTTCATACACTGATATATCATTTTGGAGACATGCTTAATGTCAGTGCAATTGCAGCCAGAGGAGTTCTGGATTTCATATCCACTACCTGCTCGATTAGTGTTTTTTATTCTTACTTGAGACCCCTTTTTTTGTCCGTGGGAAGGAGGGGTTGTGAAGGGATTTAAGGCTGCACATAGTAGATGCTTAATTTCCTATAACTTTGCCATTAGCTATTTTGCCTCACTTTCGATTTGCTTAACTTCAAATCTTGTTTCCAGGTACGATCCATTGTGAAACCTGGATGTTCACAGGACATTTTGAAAGTAGCACTCAGTTCCATGTCTTCTGTGACGGATATTCTGACTGTTATGTCATCAAACTCCAACAGTGGGCAAAAGTTCCTCTAATCGACTTGACTTGATGATTACTCAGTTTGGGAAGACTTGGTTGGAACTCTATACAAGTTTTTCATTCGTGCCGAATTAGGATTGCCATGTTAGATTATATGAACACTAGGATTTCCTTTTTAAGAATTTCTTTAAAATTTTCTTTATAGATGTGATACTCCTAATCAGTACATGCGTGAAAACACATTGCAGTTTTGGAATGAGTAGAATTACTAAATAATTAGTGTGAACCGACAGGTGACGCGTGCTTTGGAAAGTGACTGCATATTTGTATTGTAAGGTCTTAGGCTTAATACTTCATCTACCTCAGTTTGAGGCTTGTGGTTGCAATTGATTGTGTAGTCTTTGGTAGTCAAGGGAATAAAAGATCTGTCCTGTGAGGGAGCTCAGTTGGATTTTTCCGCCAGAATTTGCAATGCTAATTTATTTTGAATAATGAATGGTACTAAATACAATATGTCAAGATGAATATGGAACTTGCGTGTTTTCAAAAAAAAAAAAAAAATTCAAGATGAATGAAATACAATATGAATGGCTTCCCCTCAAAAAAAAAAAAAAAAAATTACAATATGAATGGCTAGTATGGCATTAGTGCACTAATAACTTTTCTTTGACAACATTCCAAAAACTAAACAAGAAATTTAATGGAAATAATAGAGATTGAAAATTTATGAAATATAATATTATAATGGTTTGTTTATTTCACACTTTTTTTTTGGTAAATTTTGTTTTGTGAATAGCATTTTTGGTGATTGATATAGTGTATTATGTGCTTTTATAAGTCTTATTACTTACCATCATTATTTTTGAGTACTCAATAATTACCCATTCTACAATAATTAAAGTTGAGTTATTTATTATTATTATTATTATTATTATTATTATTATTTATTTATTTATTTTTTTTTTTTTTTTTTTTTGCTTGAATCAATACTTTGACATGGTATATAAAACTCCCTATATAGTAGTGTGATAAAATCAGAAGTTCAATCTCAATCTCTCCTTTCAAAATGAAATAAATAATGTATGATTATTAGGCCCATGTTGTATTATACTTCAAATCCAAAGGACTCTTAAGCAAATCTAATGGTTGTAGTTATTCTAGTTAAGGACTTGTTTGCGATTTTCAACAAGTCATAGCTACATGCTTGACCATTACGGCGCGTTTGGTTGGTGGGATAGGAATAAGAGTGATAAAGAGGGAGGATAAAGATAGAGAATTGAGAGGTGGGACAAGGATAAATAATTCTTATCCCATGGTTGGTAGTAATAATATTATAAAAATAACCTTACTAACTTCTACTCTTTTATTTATCCTTTCAATTTCATTAAGGGTAATTTAGTATTTTTGTCCCTTTCCTTTATTCCACCCCCGTTGGTTATAGAAATGGAGGGATAAGGGGGTGTTCTTATCCTTATCCTCAACCTCCTTTTAATCCCCATCCCTCTAAAAAAAACACTACTTTTCTTCTATCCTCATCTCTTATCCTTATCTCTCCCTTTTTATCCCCCTAAACAAACACTCTAAATAAATTAGCTTAGGCAAGCTAATTTGCTGTACAAATATTTTTCAAAATTTTGGAGATTAATATAGTAATATAATTAACTTTAAATAACTAATAGAAAAAGTCAAGAAGTAATTACCGTTAACATCATCACTGTCATGTGTTAGCTTCTTATTAAAAAATTTCAGTCCAAAATTTTAAAAGACATTTTTTTTTCTCCATTTCAAGTTTGGAAAATGTATGTTAGCCTAAAAACTTTTATGACTAAATATACTAATTGCAAATTTTCCTATGAAAGTACAAAAAAAAAAAAAAAAAAAAAAAAGGTATGGTTGGTCTCTTTCGTTTTCCTTCTTTCCTATATTGCTATATGGAATTTTTTTTTTTATTTTTATTTTTTTCATTTTATCAGCGATGGTATGAGTTTAAAGTTAATTAAGATATTTAACTAACAAAAGAGATCATTATTTATATTACGCACGTAAGAGCAAAAGTTTTATTGCTAAAACCGTGTTTTGCACAAGATTAGTGTAAAAACAATCTTGAAGCTTAATGTTTTGGTAGATTTGTTTCTTTGACATCCTCAAAATACTCTTAAAGAGGCTCTTCGACAGTACTCCGAATGAGTTATGCCTTCTCTCTTCATGACTCATGAGCAGTGGATTGAGTGCTCATCCATGAAGGTTTTTGAATAACTATTGATCCCAAATCTATTTGGTTATTAGAATAACCATATTGAATAACTTTTGCCTTAAATCATTTTTTTTCTTAAGAAATTTGCCTTAAATCATCTACTGATATACTTTGTATTAATAAATGAAAAAAAAAGCTATTCAAAAAAATAAATGAAAATCCAAATAACTCGTATGTGTTAGAAGGCAATGTGAATGCCAATAATTGATTTGATGTTACAATGCATATATGAGTCCAACCCTTGTGAACCCATATTGTCTATATGTATGAAATCATTGTACTCTTAGTTGAATACTCATGCTATATATAGAGTGGCATGCAAGAGAAATTTAACGAGCAATACTTATCAGTTCCTCTATCTCCTCTTACTCCTTCATTTCTCCGAAATAAAACTTTCTATCAGTAAAATTTTTAACACGTTATCAGCACCAGTTTTCAGTCAGGTATATTTATACCTACTTATAAAAATTTATAACAAAATAATACTATCTACTTCTAACTGTTTCGAGGAGTGTGCTCTATAGTTGCCCATATTTGGGATCCTCTATAACAGAAACTCAAACATTTACTATATATACCTCAAAAACAACGGTGAAAGTTCTCTTACTTGTGAATTTACTACTATCATCTTTTGTTTATTCATGTTGATGTTTCTTTGTTTGATCCATGTTGATATTACATACTCATTTTACGTAAATTTTTATCTTAGTTATTTTAATTGCTAAGTAGTAGCTTTGCATGCATATTATTATTAACTAGATTAACAAAAAGATGCAGCCTTTTTATACTTATTATTTTTCTTACTTTTACATAATTTTTTGTGTTTCTTTCCGTTTTCGAACCCATGATCTTTTATAGATATTAGGGCTCTCGGACCACTATGGCTTGCATTCCCAGTGTGATAACCTTTTACAATTATAAATATATATATTTAGACCATAATTTTTGTCAGTATATTAGATTGTTATATGATATTTTTACAGTTGTACAGAACAGTAACGGATAAACCTACCTCTATAAAAGGCGGATTTTTCCCCGATTTCACCACAAATCCCTTATCCCTTCCCACTTTTTATCCAAAAATCACCTAAATTTTTTTTTTCACCCCCTTCTTCTCCGATATGTTCCCCGACGACGGCAACCAAAACACCCAAAACACCCACAACTTCACTTTTGAGGAAGATTTAATGAAGATAAAACAATATTTCCTTCTAATTACGGCGCTTGTAATTTTATTAGTAGCAATATTAATTTTTGTCATTATGTATAAGTAAAACTCACTTATTTTGTCGTTTTAGTATATTAAAAGCTTGTTTTTGTTTTATTATGTATGTTTGTTGTTATTAATCATCATTGTATAATATTATCGTTATCATTATAATTATTGTTACTACTGTCATTGTTGTCGTTTTGCTGTTTTTTTTTTTTTTGCAACTAACATGATTAATTTTTGTCTAATCATATAATTACTCACAATAATAAACCAAGGGGGAGAAAAGACTATATTATTTATGGTTTATTATTATTAAATTTAATTATCACGTGTCTTATTAACTTAATTATAAATATGGAAGAACTAAACATGTGAGTTGTACATATAATTTGTTATTATAATCTAATTATCACGAAATTTGTTGTAGCTAAAATGGGAGACCTTATGAAAAGACAGTTCAGCATCTTAGATTTATCTGGAAAGAAATTTCTGGAATGGAAAGTGGACGCAATGATGAATTTGAAAGCTCAAGGCTTGGAGCACACTGTTAAAGAAAATAAAAGTCCCCCCTGGTCAAACAACTGATACTACCACTTCTGCAATGACGGTTGAAAAACCCATTACCGAACAAGAAAAGGCAAAAGCCTTAGTGTTACTAAGGCATAATTTACATGAAGGCCTTAAAACTGAGTACATAATGGTTGAAGATCCCAAAGAATTATGGGACTGCCTTAATGAAAGATTTGGACACCACAAAAGGGTGCTCCTTCCTAAGGCATTATTTGACTGGACAAATTTACGGTTCCAGGATTTCAAATCTGTAATAGATTACAATTCAACCATACATGAGATAGTATCTATATTGAGATACTGTGATCATCCAGTCACCGATGAACAAATGATTGAAAAAATACTCACTACCTTTCATGCAAGCAACATACTGTTGCAAGAACAATATCGTGAAAGAGGTTTTAAGAAGTTTAATGAATTAATGAGTGTATTGCTTGTTGCGGAACAAAATAGCGATCTTTTGTTGAAAAATCATAATCTCAGACCAACTGGGTCTTTGGCCACTCATCATGAGGCAAATGCAACAAGTTCTTATCCACTCGAGGCAAATGCTGCACGAAGAGGTGGACGTGGAAATTACAATGGCCGTGGAAAAGGCCGTGGAAATTATCGCGGACGAGGCCGAGGACGTGGTAGAAACAATTTTCAAAGAAACAGTAATTTCAAAAATTTTGAAAAACAGAAGGGACAGTCATCTGGAAGCCACAAACAAACTCTTTCAAAAGGAAAAGACACATGTTACAGATGTGGCATGACAGGACATTGGGGACGTACTTGTCGTACGACCAAACATTTAGTAGATCTTTACCAGGCTTCTATAAAAGGCAAAGAGAAAAATGCAGAAGCAAATTATGTTAATGAGGAAAATGCTCCTTGTCCCAGCCTTGATGTGTCTGATTATTTCATGGATAATGCTGAAATTGGAAATGATTTCATTCTTGGAGAAAACAACAATGCTTAGGTTCCCCATCTACTAATGTAACATATGCTATGTTTTAATGTATTTTCTTAGTTCCATGTATTTTAAATTTCTAGTCATGTACTTTAAATCTTTATCATCAATAAAAGTTTGTATGATATTATTCTAAACTAATCTTAAATTTATTTTATGAAGATATGGATCTGCCTGAAGTTAGTTCCGAATATCAATGCCTTTTGGACAGTGGAACAACACATACTATCTTAAAAGATAGAAAATATTTTTCACAACTAAGGTTGTTTCAAGCAAATGTAAACACCATTTCCGGGTCAGCTAAATTAATTGAAGGGTCTGGAAAGGCTTGTATAATGCTTCCAAATGGAACAAAATTAATAATCAATAATGCTTTATATTCGAGTAAATCTCGAAGAAATCTCATAAGCTTTAAAGATGTACGCCAAAATGGCTATCATCTAGAAACAATGACAACAGATCAAAAAGAGTATATATGCCTCACGACAGAAAAACATGGCAATAAACATATATATGAGAAATTGCCAGCATACTCTTCGGGGTTATATCGTATAAACATACGACCCGTGGAAATCAATATGGTATCTAACCAGAAGTTAGATGACAAACATTTGATTACTTTATGGCATGATCGTTTGGGACATCCAGCAACTGGGATGATGCAAAGAATAATAGCACATTCAGTTGGACATTCAATAAGAAATGTCAAAATTCCCCGATCAGATGAATTAACATGCTCTGCATGTTCACTTGGCAAATTAATAATAAGGCCATCTATGAACAAAATTACTACTGAATCTCCAAAATTCTTGGAAAGAATTCAGGGAGACATATGTGGGCCAATTAATCCAGCATGTGGACCATTTCGATATTTCATGGTTTTAATTGATGCCTCTACACGATGGTCACATGTTAGTCTACTTTCAAGTAGAAATGTTGCCTTTGCAAAATTACTTGCCCAAATCATCAAATTAAGAGCACAATTCCCAGATCATACAATAAAGAAAATAAGACTTGCCAATGCTGGGGAATTTACATCCCAAACATTTAATGATTATTGTATGTCAATTGGAATTGATGTTGAACACCCAGTAGCTCATGTTCATACACAAAATGGTCTAGCTGAATCACTAATTAAGAGATTACAATTGATTGCAAGACCATTATTAATGAGGTCAAGATTTCCATCATCTGCTTGGGGACATGCTATAATACATGCAACAGCGCTAATTAGATTGAGACCTACAACTTATCATAAATTCTCACCACTACAACTTGTTTGTGGTCGAGAACCAAGTATCTCACATCTAAAAATCTTTGGTTGTGCTGTATATGTTCCCATTGCTCCACCCCAACGAACAAAAATGGGTCCACAAAGAAGGCTGGGAATTTATGTCGGGTTTGAATCCCCCTCTATAATTAAATATCTTGAACCATTGACTGGTGACTTATTTACGGCTAGATTTGCGGACTGTCACTTTAATGAAACAGTATTCCCAGCCTTAGGGGGAGAGAAAGTGGACCCACGTAAGAAAGAAATTGAACTTATTTGGAATGCAACACAACTGTTGATGTTAGACCCACGAACAAATATGTGTGAACAAGAAGTCAAGAAAATTGTTCATTTACAAAGTGTTGCAAATCAATTGCCTGATGCATTTGTGGACACAAAGAAGGTGACAAAATCACATATACCAGCAGAAAATGCCCCTGCACGTATTGAAATCCCAACTGGTAATAAGGCCATAGAAAGTGAATCTCATGCACGCAGAAAGCGTGGAAGACCACTTGGTTCAAAAAATTCTAAACCAAGGAAACTAAAAAGATTGGATGGAATAGAAAATGAGACTAATAATGTTCCCCCGTCAGAAGGTCAAGAAAGACCAAATGTGGATGAAAGTAAAGAAAATGATGATAATCCAAGAGGGGACGAACAAGAAGACAACCCTACGGGAAATGAACAAGACGTTCAAAACATCGATAACAATGAAATTTCAATGAATTACGTCTCTACAAAGACTCAGTGGAATAGGAAAGATGTTATCGTTAATGAAACATTTGCAAATTCCATCGCAATCGACATCGTGTCTGATGAAAATGATGTTGAACCAAGAACTGTAGAAGAATGTCGACGTAGGAGTGATTGGCCAAAGTGGAAGGAGGCAATGCTGGCTGAGTTAAAGTCACTTGAAAAACGAGAAGTTTTTGGAAAAATAACCCTTACACCAGCAGGTGTAAAACCCGTTGGATACAAATGGGTATTTGTAAGAAAACGTAATGAGAAAAATGAAATAGTTAGATACAAGGCAAGACTTGTAGCCCAAGGATTTTCTCAAATTCCAGGGATTGATTATGAAGAAACATATTCTCCAGTGGTTGATGCAACTACATTAAGATTTCTGGTAAGTTTGACAGTCACAAAAGGACTGCAAATGCGATTAATGGATGTAGTGACTGCGTATTTGTATGGGTCACTCGATACGGACATTTACATGAAAGTCCCCGAAGGACTAAAACTACCAGAAAACCACAAGCCTAGACAACTGCTTTCCATAAAACTAAAAAGGTCACTTTATGGATTGAAACAATCTGGAAGGATGTGGTACAACCGTCTGAGTGAATACCTTATGAGAGAAGGATTCAAAAACAACCAAGTTAGTCCCTGTGTTTTCATAAAGCGATCACAATCAGGATTCGCTATCATTGCAGTTTATGTTGATGATTTAAATATCATCGGAACCCCAAATGAACTCGAGAAAACTGCAAAATACTTGATGAAAGAATTTGAGATGAAAGACCTTGGGAAAACTAAATTTTGCCTTGGACTACAAATTGAGCACTTGAGTCATGGCATTTTTGTCCATCAATCAAACTATACAGAAAGAGTTTTGAAACGTTTCTTCATGGACAAAGCAACCCCAACCAACTTCCCAATGGTTGTTCGTTCTTTGAATATGAAAAATGATCCATTCAGACCCCGAGAAGAAAATGAAGAGATTCTGGGTCCAGAAGTACCATACTTAAGTGCAATTGGAGCCTTAATGTACTTAGCTAACAATACTAGACCCGACATAGCTTTCTCTGTGAATTTGTTAGCCAGGCACAGCAATGCACCAACATATAGGCATTGGAAGGGAGTTCGACACTTACTCCGGTACCTACGAGGGACACAAGACCTTGGTTTATATTACCAACCAAAACAAGATGTTGCTCTCATTGGGTATGCAGACGCTGGATACTTATCAGATCCTCAAAATGCCAAGTCACAAAATGGATATGTATTCACTTATGGAGGCACTGCAATATCTTGGAAATCAACAAAGCAGACATTGACTGCGACATCATCAAATCATGCAGAGTTGATAGCCCTCTACGAAGCAGGACGGGAATGTGTATGGCTAAGGTCGATGATCAGTAATATCCAAAAGGAGTGTGGAATGAACGCAATAACAGAAGACCCAACCATCATCTTTGAAGACAATACAACATGTATCGCTCAAGTAACTGAAGGATATATTAAGGGAGATAAAACGAAACATATTGCCCCAAAACTGTTCTTCACACATGATCTGCAAAAGGACGAGGAAATAAATATCCAGCAAATTCAGTCTTGTGAAAATCTTGCCGACCTTTTCACCAAATCACTTCCTACGAAGAAATTTGAACAGTTAGTTCACAAAATCGGAATGCGACATCTTCGTGAACTATGCTGAGATCAGGGGGGGTATTATATGTACTGCACTCTTTTTCCCTTCGATCAGGTTTTTATCCCACCGGGTTTTTCCTGACAAGGTTTTTAACGAGGCAGTATACCAAAGCATATAATACTATATCGTTGTACTCTTTTTCCCTAGCTATGGTATTTACCCCATAAGGGTTTTACCTAGCAAGGTTTTTAATGAGGCAACAAATACCTTTTTGTGTATAAGTATGGGCATTCAAGGGGGAGTGTTAGAAGGCAATGTGAATGCCAATAATTGATTTGATGTTACAATGCATATATGAGTCCAACCCTTGTGAACCCATATTGTCTATATGTATGAAATCATTGTACTCTTAGTTGAATACTCATGCTATATATAGAGTGGCATGCAAGAGAAATTTAACGAGCAATACTTATCAGTTCCTCTATCTCCTCTTACTCCTTCATTTCTCCGAAATAAAACTTTCTATCAGTAAAATTTTTAACAGTATGTTTATTTTACTCTTGTTCCTAGTTTTGTCGTCTTTTTATCCTTTCTTCGGTCAATCCTATCATGTGCAATACCCAAAAACAAAGTGACAGAAACAAAAAAAACATAACAAATGTATAATACAACATAAAGTTAGATAATTGTAAAGCTTATACATGGGAGCACCCCAGTTTCTCAAATACTACAGTAGTTTACATTATTTGAGAACATAAAGAACAAAGTTTAAGACCCATCATCAGCTATCTCGTATGAATTAGGATGGGGTGTATTAATGTTCCAGCGATCTAGTTGCTTCTAATATGTAAGAAATGACAAGGCCTCGATTTTCCACCCTAAAATGTACGAAGCCTTCCCCATAAAAATAGACATGCTATAATTCCCTCGTATAACCAATGCAAAATTGTCCAAAATTGGGGAAAACGAAAAAGAATCTGTACAGTTGAAGGATGCACAATTACATCCTTGAATTATTATGTATACCAATCAATAATTAAATAAATGATAGATATACTAGATATTTCCTTCACTAAACTGATCCACTAGATATCTGATCACTATCTTCTCCAAAATTGTAATGCTCATATATTTCCAACAGCATTTCTCTGCAAGGTACAACAGCGCCTAGCTTGATGTTAGCCAAAAATGCACCAGAAAGTTTACGGTGAAGACTGTAAGCCTCATCAGGCGGAGCCGACAATCTGTGTTTAAGCATGGTTGCCCCTAGATTTGAGAGGCTGTGTGTAACATTGGTGGAACGAAAATCATAACCACCGGGTCTTGAAAAAGGCAGGCCAACAACAAAACCCGCCTGAACATGAGCATCCAACATTATATCTGATTCCTCCCCTGTAAGGAAGCCAAGTCTGCGAGACATCTCTATCACAGCATCTCTATCGCAATTTGCACAAGCAACCACCTAAAAATATTTACTTATTCAGATAACTGAAATGGAATTGGAGGATTGATCATATAAATACATTGTAAAATCCAAGAAAGGTTAGACTATCATGTTCAGTTTGGTCTAAAAGAGTTGATAAATTTGCCAAGTGGCCTGCATCGCATCCCATCAGTTATGTCCACCGTGTTTCAAATGTTATAATGTCCCAAGCAGTTATATTTCAGGAAACACCCTACAATCAATTTCCCGAGAAAAGCAACAGGAATTCACCTTATTATTCTGAAAAAGCAACAGAAATTTAAATTTCTGATTACTCTTCCCTTTTCTAATGGAGACTTTCTGACTATTGTGTTTGTGAACATTTTTATGAGAGCTAGACAACAGACAATACTCCGTATCATGCAACAAGGATAAATACACTGCAAGGATAACATATTACTATTCCCCTGGGGATGGTGAGTAAAGAACTAAAACATTACCATTCTTAAATAATCATCTACAAAGGCCTTCGGATAATGTCGTGCAGCTCCAAAGTCAATCAAATTGATCACTCTTGTTGCTTCATTGTACAAAAAGTTGCCCCAATTTGGGTCAGTCTGCAGTGAAGACAGGGTACATGAGAATGTTATCATAAAAGAGAAAGGTTGTCATTTGCAATAGAAAAACTAGAAAAAAACTGCCAGTATATCTTTCACAAACTAGCGAGTTATTAGAGAGCGTGAAAGATGAAATCATAAAAAATGTGAATGATTTCCCATAATAATCAACTCCATAAAGATTAAAAAAGATCAATACTAGCTCACTGTAAACCAGAATCCTGATTTTATTCTGGTACGTATTTTTGTAAAGACTTTGCCACTCCATAAAACCGTACAATACCTAGGCCCCTACTCCATACTACTAATGGGTAACCCAGACAGAGCAAAGCCCTGGCCGTCAACCACCTCCTTACTGCCCACAAACAAGTGAGGCACCTGGAATCTTAGATGCCCTAAAGACAGAGCTTTTATGTTCACATACTAACTGCAGCCAGAAATCTATATCTTTCTTTGCAGCTCAATAGCTCAACGTCAATTCGTGACCTAAAAATTCATAGGAACAAGAGAGTCAAACTCGTCACCTCAATGCTACAAGGTGGATCGGAGTTCAATCATTGAAGTATTGGGGGCTCGACATGAGAGCAAAAAAAGTACAAATACCCTTGAAAGAAACTAAAAGTGAACACTTAAATACCTGCATGAAACGAAAGACAAACAACTCCATCAGAGTCAGGTCCAACAACTTCTTCCCAACATCATTACGAGTCTCCTGATCCAGTGATGCCACTTTATCAATGGGAATTCCTGTCAACATTAATTCAAGAATGTAAAAGATCCAATAGAGCTGTGACGTAATTTTCTGAGAACATGAAAAGACAATTACCTTGCAGTAATGCTAACTATGAGTCAGACCATACTTGGGAAGTCTAGAAGGTCAAGTTCCTAGTTTTGTATAAATTGATGACTTTATCTCTTAAATAAGGTTACACAATGGCAATATTTAATGATCAAAATCTCCGGTCCTTCAGTGTTGTCAGCAGCATACAATTTTATTGTGAAAATTCAATTACAGGTGGAATCTTCAAGATTCAGGCTTGGGTAAACCCACATTAATTGTGTTAGAGAGTGTTTATTCTTCCAAGTCTTCATATCAAAGATTTGATGGGAAATATTCTACTTTTTTTCTACAGCACAATTTACCTATGTCATATGCTGATCCTTTGACTACCGGCAAAGCTGGCAAAGCCCCGTGTGCCACTCGATAAGCCCCATTGCTTAAGTTGAGTCAATCCTTCTCCTTTATGACAATTAATTTTATGCCTCTGGGAATGCTCTTGCTAGCACAACTCTAAGAGCTAAGCAATGCCCCTCAAGTGAACTAACTACATCCCTTAGTACCTTGCCTGATTAATTATGACCCACGTAGAAAAGTGAACACACAACTACAAAAGTTAGTCACAATCATTAGTGAAACCGAACAGTGACTTGACACTATTGTGCTTTAGTTTCCTCATACTGTTGTTGAAGGAAAGCGAGAGTTAAGAGAACACATGTGTCTGCAAAGATAGCTTATTATTGGTAGCCTATCAACTAGGATGCACAAATGGGCCTTGGTGGTTATTTATAGGCCACCTTACTATAGGAACTAGAGTATTCTATTCTAAAACTCACCCCCCCCCCTCTTAAGGGAACTTTCCATACAAAGAAGTTTCTTACAAATACGTAAAAGATAGTTCTACACAGCTCCTAGCTAGACTTTTCTACACAAGAACACAAAAGTGCCTTCCAACGCACTTTAGAACATATAGGACCTTATCTTGGAAATTCACCCTGACCATTATCGTCATTCAGCCAAATAAATTCACCCTGACCATTATCGTCATTCAGCCAAATTATGGCACACCCCAAATCCTAGGCCATTCGGAGCTTGTTTGGTCCACCAAACGGCCCATTATCATGTTACTATCAATGTTGTGTTCAGTGGGAATATTTAGCCTTACCAATATAATGCTCTGCAAGGGGAAGGCTGCGCCAAGGAGCTCATGGTTATCCCCCCTTAGGCCATGATGCTACAATGTTGCCTAGTGACCCACAATGCTTCTAGTGGTGTGGCCATCATGGGTATGTGTCACGGTCCGAGAGTTAGAGTTCTGACACCGGATCGTGCGGCGCGCACTTGTCTATTGACGACAAGGACGCAAGCCTAGAACAAGAGAGGTTCGTGTGCACACAGCAACACGGACCAAGGGTATCTCAAGAAAGCACACGTCAACTACGGGTGCGGAGTTGGGACTTGTGACGGCCGATACTTTAAAGCGGGCACAAGCGGAACCGACGAGATGAAGGCGTGTTTTGAGGGTCTCTTGGTTTGGTGGGGATGCTTTGAAACAAGGCAAGCACAATATCTATAAAGGCTTAGAACAACACACAAGTCTTAAAGCAATAGCAAAGGGGTAGAGAGCTTTGATTCATTAATCATCACTCCCTAAAGAGCTTTATATTGAATACATGGAGAATTACTAGTGAACGTTACAACTACAGTAACACAATAATTCTACCTTAGAGCCTAGAAAGCAAAAAGAAAGACTTAAAAGACAAGACATGAGGAAAATACAAGTAAAAGAAAGAAGAATACATAAGAAAGAGGTTGGATTCTAACATCCTCCCCCACTTAAGCCGTCGACGTCCTCGTCGACTTACAAAGCAAACTCTTAAAGATTCTAGCTGCTTCAGTCTTCTGTTGCAGGGTTGGCCTTGTCCTGGTTCTGATGTTGGCGCGGTAGCTCACGTTGCGGTTGCAATCTTCTGGATCTGGATGATAGGGTTTGAGACGACTAACATGGAAGACGGGGCGAATCCGCATCCACGTAGGCGGTTCAACCTTGTACACATTCCTCCCAATCCGTTTAGTGATGCGGATGGGGCCTTCGTATTTTCGAATTAGGCGACAATCTCTACCTCTGCAAAATCCATGTACCCAACTGCAAAATCCACCGGCATTCTGTTGTGATCAGCCCATTTCTTCATTCGACGAGACACTCTCTCCAGGTAGGCTTTAGCAATGTCAGTGTTTTGCTTCCACTCTCTTGTAAAATCTCGAGCTTGAGCACTTCTTCCGCCCACCCTCCCAGTCTGACACCGTGTGCGGAAGGAGAAGTTGTTGGTCAGCTTAAAAGAGCTTTTGTTGGAGGAAGAGCTCCTTTGAGCGTTGAAGCAAAGTTGTGCCACGTCCAAAAGTCTCACCCAATCTTTCTGGTCAGCGCTTACGAAGTGACGCAAGTATTATTCAAGCAGCCCATTGAATAACAGTGCATCGACACCAAACCCTCCAAGAAGGGCACCCCATTACATGCGAAAGCAGGAATAATGATGAGAGAAGGTATGCGACACAAGAAAAGGAGTTATTAGCCATTGTGCACTGTCTAATAGGATGGAGACACTATTTGTTGGGATCAAAGTTCCCTGTCCGCACAGATTACACCGCGGCGAGTCACTTTCTCACCCAATCCAAACTGACGGGGAACAGGCTCGGTGGCAAGAGACCTTAGCCGACTTTGATGTGGAGTTCACCTATAGAACGGGGTCAAGCAACAGAGTCGCTGATGCCCTGAGTAGGCGTGCCGATCTTGCCGCAATGTACAAGCTAGCCCCAATGGCCGCAAGCAACATTGCCAAAAGATCAAGTACGAGCTTATCTAGCAGATGACCCAATGACAAAAACAATAATGAAGATGATAGAAGAATGGAACACTAGACGCTTTTGGATGGAGAATGGCCTCATCTTCACCCAAAGGCACGAAACTTTTCATCCCTAGAGCAGGTGGATTGAGAAAGATGTTGCTCTATGGGCGGTTCACCCAGGATGGCAGAGAACAGTCTACTCGCGATGGGGTACTACTAGCCATGAATGAAGGAAGATGTCACGGTCCGGATGTTTTGACATCGGATCGCGCAGCGCGCACTTGTCTATTGACGACAAGAACGCAAGCCTAGAGCGGAAAAGGTTCGTGAGCACACAGCAACACGGACCAAGGGTATCTCAAGGAAGCACTCGTCAACCACGGGTGTAGAGTCGGGGCTTGTGAAGGCCGATATCATACTCTTGTGGCCTCCTGTTCTCGGCCCATTTCTTCATTCTCTTTGCTGCCCGCTCCAGGTTGGAGCGGGCAACTTCCATGTTTTGTTGCCACTCTTTCTTGAATTTCCGGGCTTCTCCCTTTTTCTGACGTTGTTATGGTGTAAGGTAAAAGAGGTTGTTGGCCCATCACCAACTCGAACGGACTTCTGTTAGAAGCAGAGCTCTTTTGGGCGTTGAAGCAGAGTTCAGCGACGTCAAGGAGTTTCACCCAGTCTTTTTTATTGGCGTTGACGAAATGTCTCAAATATTCCTCTAAGAGGCCGTTGAATCTCTCTGTTTGCCCGTCAGATTAGGGGTGGTGACTTGAAGACATGTTTAAGTTCGACCCCATTAGTTTGAACAACTCTGTCCAAAATATGCTCGTGAATCTGGTATCTCTACGATGCTTTGAGGCATCCCCCAATACTTCACAATGTGTTTGAAAAACAGCGCCGCTGTCTTCTCAGCACCGTGCACGGGGACGAAGGTAGCATACTTCGAAAACCTGTCGATCACCACCATTTCAACTAAATATTGATCCACCTTAGGTAGACCACTAATGAAATCCATAGATACACTCTCCCACCTTAGGTAAATCACTAATGAAATCTATTAATTGATGCATTGATGATCGATTATTATGTTTTACCCTAGAATGTTATTTATTGGTGAACCTATGCCCAAGGCCTTTATTCATTGATTTCTCTTTACTCTTAATCTCTGTAGTTTAGTTTCCTATCCATATTATTAATTTGTTAGTTAATAATTTAGATTGCTTAAATTATTTAGGAATCGAAAGACCAGTTTCCCTGTGGATTCGACCCTACTTCCCTATCTGCATTAGTTGGAGGATTTAGGAATTACTTTTGATTGGGTGATACGACTTTAGCATGTGAGATATGCTGCTCAAGAAAAGGAACTACTGCTTGAGAGGGTGGAGGCACTATCTGCTCGGATCCAAGTTCCTTGTTCGCACTAACAACACCGCAGCAAGCCACTTCCTTACCCAACCGAAGCTAACAAGGAAGCAAGCACGATGGCAGGAAGTGCTCGCTGATTTTGATGTGGAGTTCACCTATAGAACAGGAGCCAATAATCGGGTGGCGAATGCATTGAGTCGACGAGCTGACTTGGCTACAGTGCAGAACTGCAGATGTTGTCCCCTCTAGTCGCCAGCAATGTTTCTACCTCAGTAAAAGAGCAGGTCAAGCAGCATCTGCCCAAAGACCCCATGACGAGCACCCTTAAGAGATTGATCAAAAACGGGAAGACAAGATGCTTTTGGATGGACGGTGATCTCATCTACACCAAATGCAACAAACTCTTTATTCCAAAGGCGGGAGGCCTGCGGAGGATGCTTCTGAAAGAATGCCACGATACCCTATGGGCAGGTCACCCTGGGTGGCAGAGGACCTTAAGCTTGCTGTCCATAGGTTATTACTGCCAGCAATGAAGGAAGACGTCATCAACTACACCCGAACTTGCCTAGTTTGTCAACAAGACAAAGTTGATTGTCATAAGGCGGGAGGCCTTTTAGACCCTCTTACCGTTCCGACACGTCCGTGGGAGAGTGTATCTATGAATTTCATTAGTGGTCTACCTAAGGTGGATCAATATTCAGTTGTAATGGTGGTGATCGACAGGTTTTCGAAGTATGCTACCTTCGTCCCCGTGCAGAAAGCTTCGGTGCTGAGGAGACAACGACGCTGTTTTTCAAACACATTGTGAAGAATTGGGGGATGCCTCAAAGCATCGTAGAGATACTAGATCCACGAGCATATTTTGGACAGAGTTGTTCAAACTAATGGGGTCGAACTTAAACATGTCTTTAAGTCACCATCCCCAACGGGCAAACAGAGAGATTCAACAGGCTCTTAGAGGAATACTTGAAAACTCCTTGACGTCGCTGAACTCTGCTTCAACGCCCAAAAGAGCTCTGCTTCTAACAGAAGTTCATTCGAGTTGGTGATGGGCCAACAACCTCTTTTACCTCACACCAAGAAAGAGTGGCAACAAAACATGGAAGTTGCTCGCGCTTACCTGGAGCGGGCAGCAAAGAGAATGAAGAAATGGGCCGATCAGAACAGGAGGCCACAAGAGTATGATGTTGGGGACATGGTAATGGTGAAGGTCCTACCGGACAGAACAGTGGAAGAGATCGCAGACTGATCAGGAAATATGAAGGCCTCATCCGCATTACTAAACGGATTGGGAAGAATGCATACAAGGTTGAACCCCCAGCGTGGATGAATATACACCCTGTCTTCCACGTCAGTAGTCTACAGCCCTACCATCTAGATCAAGAAGACAGCAACCGCAACACCAGCAACCGCGCCAAACATCAGAACAAGGATGAAGACAACACAAGCAGCACAAGATTAATCTTTTATGTTTTTCTTTGTAAGTTGACGAGGTCGTCGACATCTTAAGTGGGGGAGGATGTTAAAATCCGCCTCTTTCTCTTTATATCCCTTTCCTTTTCCATGTTTTTTTCCTTATGTTTTACGTTCTAAGTCTTTCCTTTTTATTTTCTAGACTCTAGGGAGTATTATTGTGTTACTGTAGTTTCATTGTTCACTTGTATTTCTCTATGCAATCGATATAAAGCTCTTTAAGGAGTGATTGGTTATTAAATCATAGCTCCTTACCCCATTGCCTTTGCTTAAGACTTGTGTGTTGTTTAAGCCTTTATAGATATTGTGCTACCTAGTTTTAAAGCATCCCCCACCAAACTAAGAAACCTCCAAGAGACGCCTTCATCTCGTCGGTTCCGCTTGTGCCCGCTTTGAAGTACCGGCCGTCACAAGCCCCGACTCTGCACCCGTAGTTGACGTGTGCTTTCTTGAGATACCCTTGGTCCGTGTTGCTGTGTGCACACGAACCTCTCTCATTCTAGGCTTGCGTCCTTGTCGTTATTAGACAAGTGCGCGCCGCACGATCCGGTGTCAGAACTCTCGGACCGTGACAGTTGGTATCAGAGGCGAGGCTCATTCTAAAGTGGCTCAACATGGGGATGCCTGAAGTTGTGAATACGTGGGAAGAGAGAATTGCCCGGCTAGAAGGCAAATTGGAATTTTGGGCTATACTCGAAGAAAGAGTACCCAAGCTCGAAGATATAGTAATAAAACAAGCTGAGTAAAAAGAAAAGCCGGAGTCAACGGTTGATGGGTTGACGGAGCAGGTCAACTTCGTTCAAGGAGTAGCGGACGAAGCTCAAGACAAATGTGCTACCTTGATGCGTGCCCAAAGGGGACTCGAGGGAAGTGGAAGTAAGATAAAACCTCCCAAGCCTCGAACCTTAAATGGGACGAGAGACTCAAAGGAAGTTGGCAACTTCATTTTCGATATGGAACAATGCTTCCGCATATGCAAATTGGAAGATGATCTTAAGGTCGACACGACCACAATGTACTTGGTGGACGATGCGAAACTTTGGTGGCGAACTAAGTACGCTGACATTCAAGCAAAGAGGACGTTGGTAGATACTTGGGTGGATCTAAAGGAGGTGATAGCTCAATTTTACACAGAGAACACGGAGTTCGTGACTCGTACAAAATTGGCCACCTTACAGCACAAGACCTTTTATTCGGGAGTATGTAAAAGAATATTCTGCGTGCATGCTTGAGATCCATGACATGTCCGAGAAGGACCGCTTGTTCAATTTTGTACGAGGCTTGAAAGATTGGGCCCAAAGAGAAATTTGGCGCCAGAAGATTGATACTTTATCGGGAGCCATCGCGGAAAGGCAAGAAACTCTCCAAACCCTCCAAGAAACTCTGGAACAATAAATACAACAAGAGTGGGGGAGAAGGCACCAGTATAGATCTAAGGTGCGGCATCAGAACAACCTTATTAGACTAGACTGTAAGAAGTCCATGCCGAGTTTTCTCCCCCACTCTTGTTGTATTTATTGTTCCAGAGTTTCTTTTGAGGGTTTGGAGAGTTTCTTGCCTTTCCGCGATGGCTCCCGATAAAGTATCAATCTTCTGGCGCCAAATTTCTCTTTGGGCCCAATCTTTCAAGCCTCGTACAAAATTGAACAAGCGGTCCTTCTTGGACATGTCATGGATCTCAAGCATGCACGCAGAATATTCTTTTACATACTCCCGAATAAAAGGTCTTATGCTGTAAGGTGGCCAATTTTGTACGAGTCACGAACTCCGTGTTCTCTGTGTAAAATTGAGCTATCACCTCCTTTAGATCCATCCAAGTATCTACCAACGTCCTCTTTGCTTGAATGTCAGCGTACTTAGTTCGCCACCAAAGTTTCGCATCGTCCACCAAGTACATTGTGGTCGTGTCGACCTTAAGATCATCTTCCAATTTGCATATGCGGAAGCATTGTTCCATATCGAAAATGAAGTTGCCAACTTCCTTTGAGTCTCTCGTCCCATTTAAGGTTCGAGGCTTGGGAGGTTTTATCTTACTTCCACTTCCCTCGAGTCCCCTTTGGGCACGCATCAAGGTAGCACATTTGTCTTGAGCTTCGTCCGCTACTCCTTGAACGAAGTTGACCTGCTCCGTCAACCCATCAACCGTTGACTCCGGCTTTTCTTTTTACTCAGCTTGTTTTATTACTATATCTTCGAGCTTGGGTACTCTTTCTTCGAGTATAGCCCAAAATTCCAATTTGCCTTCTAGCCGGGCAATTCTCTCTTCCCACGTATTCACAACTTCAGGCATCCCCATGTTGAGCCACTTTAGAATGAGCCTCGCCTCTGATACCAACTGTCACGGTCCGAGAGTTCTGACACCGGATCGTGCGGCGCGCACTTGTCTAATAACGACAAGGACGCAAGCCTAGAATGAGAGAGGTTCGTGTGCACACAGCAACACGGACCAAGGGTATCTCAAGAAAGCACACGTCAACTACGGGTGCAGAGTCGGGGCTTGTGACGGCCGGTACTTCAAAGCGGGCACAAGCGGAACCGACGAGATGAAGGCGTCTCTTGGAGGTTTCTTAGTTTGGTGGGGGATGCTTTAAAACTAGGTAGCACAATATCTATAAAGGCTTAAACAACACACAAGTCTTAAAGCAAAGGCAATGGGGTAAGGAGCTATGATTTAATAACCAATCACTCCTTAAAGAGCTTTATATCGATTGCATAGAGAAATACAAGTGAACAATGAAACTACAGTAACACAATATCTATAAAGGCTTACAACAACACACAAGTCTTAAAGCAATAGCAAAAGGGTAGAGAGCTTTGATTCATTAATCATCACTCCCTAAAGAGCTTTATATTAAATACATGGAGAATTACTAGTGAACGTTACAACGACAGTAACACAATAATTCTACCTTAGAGCCTAGAAAGCAAAAAGAAAGACTTAAAAGACAAGACATGAGGAAAATACAAGTAAAAGAAAGAAGAATACATAAGAAAGAGGTTGGATTCTAATAGTATGACATATAGCCCACATCTCATCCTTAGAACTCCTGAAGTGGGTTATAGGTCATACCTGCGTTCAACACTATTACCCAAGTCAATATAACATAGGTCATATGAATTGGTAAATGCGGCTCACCTTCCTTTTTGTAAAATACGTCCTCCGTTTTTTTAAAATCGCACCATTTTCCTTTTTGGGAAGTTATACATTTAATGCACCATCCTTCTATGGTATGCTTTATCATGTGTTCACACTACTAAATAACAATTTGCCCTTATATACATTTGATAATAACCATTATTCTCTCTTTTGTTTGTACTCACATGGGCATTATTGGTATCCCCCACTTTTTACCCCCTTAATTCTTGTGCCCAAAGCGTATGGTGCAATTAAAATTGGAGGAAGTATATAATTTGCAACTATCAAGTCCAGATGGAGTTGTTCAAAGACTCTCTTAGAGTGTTGCAGCTGTAGCAGGTCTGTAATTTTGGGGGACACAAAGGAAGAACATCACTAAGGCAGAGAGCTAGGGAGTGAGGTATCTATCAGCCTGCTACTGGAGAAAAAAACGAGACTGAAATTACCAGTACTTTTTGTTGGGAGACTGTAGTTTGTAGAGCAGAGTAGGGTTTCTGATTTCTTTGTTAACTTATCTAAAAGAATAATTTGAGCTTAGGCTCAAATATACATAGAAGTACTGGCACTCAATATTCTTTCACTAGTTTTTGATGTAGACGTCTCATCCTTTTCCTTTCTTATTAATAGATTTTTCAATTGATCTAAAAACTTTCAAATTTAAAAATAAAGACACACCACCAAATTCCCTCCCTACCTCTACATTCCCTTCAAAGGAAAAAAAAAAAAGACGATATAGCATTTATTTTTTATTTTTTTTTTTGTTTTTTTGCAGATTCAACATCTCTATTTACATGTTTCTCCTCATAAACTGATATATGATAAGAACCAATCTACAAATAGAGACATAAAATTAGTAATATTCAAATGGGTTTTCATGATAGACCTTTGTCCAAACGAATCTAATTGAAGGTAATTCAATGCATGCATGCAAAAGGTAATCTCTAAGAATTTATAAAAGCCTTGAACTGAAAAACACGCTATAAGCAGTGAAACATTGGATTAATAATTTATGTAAATATTATCTTAGATTGGCCCGAGTAAGATGTCTTAGCAAATTCAAAAAACAGACAATTTTATTCCAGTTAAAAAGCATCACACAATTAAGTTTAAGCAACTACCGTGGATAAGCTCGGTTGTCAAGACTCTTTTACTCGATAACTCATCTACAACCAAGGGCACATAAAACCCCTGTTTTTCAGAGAGAAGATTCCGAAATAGTTTTTGGTTATTGGCTTCCAGCACATAGTCACATTCACGTGATAACTCTTCTCTCGCAACCTGCAACAGCATAAATCAACGATAAAATAAGACATAAAATTCAATTGCGAATTCAGGAGTTTGTCCAATGACAATCAAATTAGAGGATTTTTCTTTAAAATATCACATATTGATGGAGCAGTTTACCCAAGGGAACCAATTCGGGTTGAGTCAAGTTCAGGTCATAAATCATTTGGGTTGATTTGGGTAGTTCCATATTTAAATCTATTTGCAATAGGCTATTGTGATTATAGTCATCATTAGACACATTGTTTATCAGGCATAACCAAATCAGATCAGATCAGATCAAATTCAGGTCATGTGATTTCAAGTACAAATTGGGTAGTATTACCGGCTAAGGGTCGGTTTTTCCAGGTCTACACGCAAGGAGAATATGTGGGACACTAAAAAAGATAAAGATAATCTAAAACTCTAGGATATATTTCCCCCATTTCTATTTACTTGACTTTCCTTAAACGAAAATGTCATATTACTTGACCCATAATATAAATGGAATGGTTTTAACTACAAGCTTACATACTTACCCTTAATCACCCCAATCCTAAGCTTACTAAACCCCAAATCTCAAGCCCCTTCAACACTTTTTTATGAAACAGCCACCACCTTCTACATTAAAATCACCACCTTTCCTGCTGTACAACTGCCACCCTCAACGGATATCACCACCCACTCCGATGCATTACCAATAACTCATCAGAAACTGGCACCCTCACTGGAAATCACCAACTAGCCATCCTCCACACCAATTCGCCACTCCTAACTCGCTGAAATCTGCCGCCCTCACCAAAAATCACTACCCAATGCACCAAACTGCCACCCTAACCTGCCAATATCCACCACCATTACCAGAAGTCACATCCCTTTGCACTATACTCCGTCCCTATGACCCTAACTCACCAAAATCACATACCCACCTTACCAAAAAGAACTGCATCCTTGGCCACTAAATCACCCCTTAAACCACCAAAAACACCCACTGCCTAGCACCATCACCTTCACCCTTAGCTCAAATTCTCTCTCTTTAAAGTCTAAACCCGCTAACCATTAGATCCATAGCCTAGCACCACTTTCGCCCAACTCATTATTTATGGTTTGAAGAGAGAATAAGATAACGAAAGGAGAAAGAGAAAGAAAAAAAAAAAAAAGGCAGATCTGAAGGAGGATGAAAGAGATAAGGTTGTAGGAGACAGGAGCGACAGTGGGGATGTGGTCATGGAAGTTAAGCAAGAGGGAGGAGGAGGAGCACTTGACCTGGTGGAAGCAATTAGATATGGATGACGGAGTGGGGTGGTGGTGGCAGTGATGACATGTGGCCGGCGCCGGCGGTAGCAATTGCGGTGGGGTGCCTGTTGGTGTGGTGGGTGAGTGGGTTTAATTAACAAAATTGTTTTGCTACTTAACAAAGGTTATTAAACTACCCACAACACTTTCTCTCCCATCTTCCTTAAAAAGTGTGCCAAGATCTATAAGTCAATTATAGAAATGGAGGAAGTAGTTTGTAACTTCGACACTTTGTATAACAAACTTAGATTTTTGTTAGAGATTTTATTATTCTTAGTCTCCTCCACCATCCCTTTTGCCCTCACCTCCTTACTCTAACCCCCTTCCCTTCAACAACAATGTTGCTTCCTATTACAAAGGAGGCCATGGTCCATGACTGTATTATGCTCTAAGACAATGCTACATGCTGCATTGCTGCCCATGAAAACGACATAGCATTTTCTTACATAACAAACATCAAATGAACCCTGCTACAAAATAAACTTACAAACCGAATTCCTCTATATCCCTTGTAATTGTGTTATATAAAAAATTGTTAAACAGGTTACAAAATTAAGATGATCCAAACCTTAAAGATTTTTCACGCACCTTCATAGCTTGGTCAAGATAAAGTCCCTTAGGAATCAGGTTTGTATAATCCAACAGCAATTTCACATTCTTGATGTCACTTTCAATGCTATCTGCTACTCCTGGGTACTGTATTTTCATTGCTACCTCCATACCATCATGTGTGACAGCTTGGTGAACCTGAAAATTTCAACAGTTATTAGAGTTATTATTAGCTTTTAGATAAGAAACTCAAGAAATCAAAAAAATTAAATTATAAGAGTATGATGCAAATTATTGACACAAACAAACATCCATAAGGCTTGGAAACAAGTCACAGGCCAACTTCATGCAACTATGCAAGTTCACTAGACAAGAACTCATTGCTTCGCACATACGAAGTGGTGCAAGTAGGAGCATCATGAAAGAAGTAATATACTTCCTCCGTTTCATTTTAGTTGACACGTTTTGACTTCTTCCACTTTTCACATAAGTTACTTTGACCTCACTATGTGATTTATTCTAAAGAAAAAAAAAAATAGTCGAGTGGGGTCTTGTTTGATTTGTCTCAATTTCTATTTTTCAATATTAAATTTGTTTGTTGTATATGAAGATATAATTATTTGAAGTTATGCATTGGCAAAGTCGCTAGTAGAAAATGTGTCAATTAATATAAAGCAACTTAGCAAGTACTCCCTCCGTCCCCAAAAGTTCGACCCTTTTAGCTTAATTTGAGTTTCAAAATGATCGACCCATTTGCATTATAACACCTACCAATTTACAATATTATTTGTGCAAAATTAGCTTCTCTATATAAAATTTGGTTTTTTCATGTACTTTTAATACTTTGTCACTCTACTTTTTTACAAACCCCATGTAAATTTATCTTTCCAATATAAGTTTACTTGTTTTTATTTAACTTTCTTAATACCCGTGATCAACTCAAAAGGGTCGTTCTTTCGGAGACGGAGGGAGTACCACTTATTACACAGGGAAGGAAAAAAAAAAGACCTTCTAAATCCTATCTAGGACAAGAGATGTTTGGTCAATCCTAGTGCTACCTAATTTGCTAACCTGAAACGCATTATAAAAACACAATTGACGTGAAATGTATCATTCTCTGTGAGCAAGTTGAAAAGTTTTAACAAAAATATGTTGCAAATCACATCCTTGTTTACATATTAATTCCAAGTTCCAACCACCGGAAGTGCATGTATTATGTACCATATCCAGGCCATACTTGAACTTAATAATTGAAAGAGGGTGAGGAGGAAGAGTGGATTAACCTATAACATTCCAGATTCAAATCTTTCCAAAATTGCTTCTATTAAGGATGTTCCATCAGTGGATTTGACACTTTGGTATAGATAATTAATAGAAATAGAGATGATAGTTTCTAATGTCTAGATCAAATCCCAGTTTTGGAGTTACCTCCCACATTTGAAGGTGAATTGATGTAATGCTGATGTGACAGTTTTCATATCTATCAAATTTACTTTAGAAAATGATTTCACTTTCCCCCTCCCAAGGACATTTGGGAGTAAAGGGCTCCTACAAAGTGTTTTAGATTTAAAGGTAAGGCTTCAACCAAGGATGTTCTAAAAGGATATCTCAGACCTGCAAACTAATTGGCATGTGCAACAGGACCAAGGATCTGCCAATCAGCTCCTTCTTATGCCACTGGTTTCTTTTTCTTAGGACTTCGGCTTCAAAGGTCTAATCTACATGCTTCATGAATAATAGAACTGGTCAAACAGTCAACAGTTGGAGCAGTGCCACTTAAGTTATGCAAATTCCAGTAAGTGGATGATGAAATTATTTCAGGAATGCAAGTCAGCTTCCTTTCCAGTTCTTAGGGGTAAATGGTTAAGCTTTTAGCACTGGTTTGCTGCTTTCTTATTCAGTTCACTAATCAATTACATAAATTCCACATTGCATACAATAATTTGATTCATGGGGAATGTAAGCAAATCAGGTAATTCTAACTTCTAAGTTGTTGGTCAGTGTCACCATACAAGTAATTATATACCGAGAGGGAGTAAAATGATTCCACCTCTTGAAAGTAGAATTCTCATTCACAATAGCTGTAATTCAGGTTATTAATCAAAAGCATCTTCTTCCCTAATTTCTGCCACTCATGATTTCTAAGCTATGCTAATTCGTAGCATCAGATTACAACTTCAAGAGCATTTTCCCTAATTTTATTGGCATCTTTGCATTGCAAAAATCAATTAAAATATATACCATGAACTGCTTAATCAAAAAAATAATCCACCATAGCCCAAATCAACACAAGATTACTGTATTTGCCTTGATTTTGTTAAAAGCATTTGTCAATTAAATCTCTAGCATTTGTTCTAGAGTTACATTGTAGTTACACTGTTCATATAGTATTTCTACTCAATAAAAATCCATTGAAAAGGATTGTGCCAATGACAATTAGCCTACAGCAAAGGTGGCTAGTGGGCTAGTTCAGGCACAACCACCTCAAACTGGCGTGGTATGCCCAGGCTTAATCTGGTTCAACACAGGGAATCGGCATGAATTGGGTGGTTATGTGCAATAGGTTCAAAATTTCCACACAGAAAGTTTGGCCATGGCTCTGGCTACTTCAGGAACCCAGTTGTTAGATACTTCATATAAGATTTAAGAAGATAAGACAAAAGTAACTTGCTACTCAAACATAATGAATGTAACTGCACAAAATACCTGACCAATACTTGCAGATGCCATGGGTTCATAGTTAAAACTCCTCAACTTTGAAGACCACTGAGGCCCTAATTCAGCATCCAAGACTTGATTAATTTGGCTCCTTGGCATCACGTCAGCGCCTTGACGGACTATCTCCAAAGCAGCCAAGATCTAGCAATGGAGAGAACCAAATACATCAGAACTCCATAATTACTTTATTTACTGATTTCCTACGATTAATCTGAAAAAGAATCAGTCCATGAAAATAGGGCTTAAATTTAATATATTGTTTACTATTTTACTTCAAATGAAATTCTGTTCTATACATATAATTTTATATCACAAAATTAATTGAAACCTCCACATCACAAGCCTGAGAATTGCATGCCAATTACATCGCACAATAGTAAAATACAGCATTATTCCTTTTGATAGAAAATTAAGTTTTTTGGAGGGATGAAAATGTCGAGGAAAAAATTAAAGATATCTAGAACCTAAAAATTCACTGATCAGTGAAAGAAGAAACAGCAGCTGGATCCAAGGCAACGGTGTTGACAGCATGGAAAGGGGTGAGACTCAAGTGACAGTTTGATATTCCTCCACAAGTCCATAATTCCATATCTCTTCTCATTGTTGCATATCAAGATGTAGATGCATCTCATTAGAGATTAACCAGCTGCTTCGCTTGTTTCAATGTCACTTGGTGGCTCAATTTTATGCACTTAGGTTTATCTTAATAATATTAAGGAGTGTGACTCAACTCACTCAAGTGATACTGTGACAAATAATTATTCTTTTATATCTTATCTCATAAATGCATTGTTATATGTTTGCATATCCCATTAAATATTTACAGTTGCTTTGCTTGGTTCAATGTCATAAGAAGGTTTTCTATCATTGAACACAATAATACTGACGGAAAACTGCATAATTTAATTTTTTTGGAGATAGAATATTTATTTATTTTTTACAATTATAATAATAAATTGGAAAGCATAACAGTACTAGAGCAAAAGTGCTCTTCATATTTATAAAGTAAATAAATAAACTTCAAAACCTAAAGCGTCAGTAAATTACTAGATTATAGAAACAACCAGACATAAAAAAGGCTTAATTATAAGAAGGAAGCTAGTACCGGAGCAGGTACAAGAGATTCATCTTGTATACTCAACATCTGCCCTATCTTCAGTGCTGCCCCGCGCATTCTACAAAGAGCAAGTGCTAACCGTTCTGCATTTTTTTTCAGATAAAAATGAAGAAGGAGACTGGTTATCCGGTGAATCAGGCCTTCCTAAAAATAACGTCTTGGCAGATTCTTGGACACTTCCCCAGGCAAGACCAGCTCCTAGACTAGCAAACCTGCCAATCCAAAAGGTATATTTTAGCATTTTAATGAAATTTAGTGTGATCATGAGTGAATCCGCAACATGGAAAGATGGCAGGCAAGCTCAGCAAGCAACACGCACAAACATTCCCAGGAGAGTGGGTAACAATGTAACATATAATTACAAATAATAACCATAACTCATAACAATAACAACCTCACTTAACAGGCTTACACGTGCTAAATTATCAAATAGGAATCTCAACTCTCAAGAGCAAGCCATGCAAGGTTGCATACAAAGAAACTTAGAAAACAAAACTCCTAAAGAAAAATAAGACACTAACCCAAGAGCCCTGGAGAAGGGTGTAGCAGGCACTTTTCTTTCCCTAGGCTTCCGCCTCTTCAAAGGGATGGTAGTGCTGGAGGCAGAGATGGGAGTGTCGGCGGTTTGACCTTCCCCCACACCCATCAATTGACCAGCCGCAGATTTGGCTCCTACATGTGCATTGAAATCAGGCTGATTCACTGACTCTGATGCTGGAGATGAAACAAATTGTTCAGACGAAGAAGCAGCAATCGAATCACCAGTAGAAGCAATCTCTGAACTTGAAATGACCTCTTCCCTGAAGGCAGAACTATTTCCAGTAGTAGAGACAGCACCACTATCAAAATAAACAATAGAGTCTCCGGCTTTCTTAGAAGACTTTGGCTTACTTGCTAACGGTTCACGTTGGTGAACCTGTACCTTTCCTCTTGTAAGGCCAAATATGCTTGCAGATTTCTTAATGAAAGATTGTAGTGCATCTCTTGAACCATCGCTTGCTCCTGAACGTCTCACAACCTCCCTGGCTACTAATGATAATCCCTCAGCGACCCTACTCATGTCTCTCATTGTTGAACTCATGGAATATGTTTGTGCCTTTTAGTGCTTAAAGTATAATGCATATGGCAAGAATCTTGTCTGGCGGTATTCCTATATCATCATGTTGACTGGAGGACCATCTTTCTTTATAATAACATAAATCTCAAACCAATTGGTATGGTAAAATATCTGTCCATGAATTTAAGTACTCAGTGAAAATGACGGTAATTTTATATGAAAATGATGCATAATAATCCAACATTACATGATGATCTACAGAAATTCTACAAATGATTGCACAAAGTAACACTGGAAAAGGATCTCTTCACAATTGTAATAGCTACACAAGAATCAAATAGGGATATAATTATTACTTTACTTCATCCTACTATCTTGTAAAAGGGGAACTGGGTGTAAGGGATATATACATATTGCTATCAAAGAAGTGTGATCTCCAAGGTTACCCACAAGCTACAAATTTACAAAATTTGAACAGGTGAATTTGATCTACACCGCTCCTTTGCAAAATAAAATGAAGTTTGCAGGTTGGAATAAAGTTCAATTGTTAGGCAGAACAAGAACAGATGTTTATGAATATAATTATGAAATAATTGAAGAACAGAACCAGAAAAATGTATATAATTAATGGAGAACAGTAACATGAGGACTGATATTCCAGCTCAAGTTTGTACTTCGATTGAATTCATCAGATTGCACCTAATGGTGACTGAATGGACTTGCAACTAGTTTGAATTTCAATATCGTGCCACTGACATCGTAGAAAGTTCACATAAACACAATCACGTTATATGTGCACAGATTAGCGAACACATAGTCTGTCAAATTGAAGTCATTGCTGATTTATAGTCATTGTATGATGTATTACTTATCCAATTCGACCACGAATACAACAACGAAGCAAGGAGAAACAACATTAAGATCACAATCTATAAACCTCATTACCATGAATAAAAATATAATTCAGAAAAAGCTGACTCTCACTCTATAACCAACACCCAAATCATTCAAACTAATGTAACAAACTTTCATCATATCATATGTCAAAAATAAATAAAAAACTTGTAATTCAAATCAAATGACGCATAACATAAAATACATGCAAGAAGATTGTATAATGAATCTCTAATATCCACCAAGATGAAAGAATATTGTAATATCAATTTCATAATCAATTACACAAATCAATAGGAGCATAACCTAGAATATGATAAATTTATTGAATCCAAAATCGAAGGAATTGATTGTAAATGAAGAAATGGAGCTCCAAAACAGGGAAATTTAAAGGAAATGCGAATGCAATGTGATTAAGAGTGGGAGAGGAGAGAGAATACGAAGATCCTAACCTTTTTTTTTTTCCGGTGAAGGAAGACGAACAACGGTGGGAGTGAGTATGAGATGGGAAGGCGGGGTTGAGAGGCAGCCACGAGTAGGCAGACCCAAAAATATGCAAAATTCAATTCTCTTCTTTTCTCTTCAAAAAAGCGTTGTAATACGGAGTTTTTTTATTTTTTATTTTTTTTTGAAGAAAAAAAAGCGTTGTAATATTAGAGTGAGGATAGATCAAGTAGTTAGAGACTACAAGCTTTCCTATCGATTTCAAGAGAGAAAAAAAAGAAACAAACTTGTATTATTAAAGTTCGGAAATTTGAAAGATTTTTCTCGAGAATAGCACAAACGTATAGGGCATTATTACACTATACGTAGAAGTAACTTTTTAAAATAGAGGTACATATATTATTATTGAAGCACATTAATGAATAATGAATAAAATTACATAGACCATCTTTAGAAATATATAGTACCATAAAAATAATCATAAAAATTAACTAACTAATGAAAGTATTTTAAAAAGCATGACACTTTGATCGTACAAGTATTAGGTAAAGTAGATAAAACATAGTTGGGATTACTATTGGGGATGACGGGTGGGTATAATTTGTGAATTTTGTACCATATAAATCTCTGTTGGACGAGTATGGATATGACTTTAGTAATAACGGATCCAGGGGCGGGCCTACCCAGGCCTCGGCCCGCCCTATGCTGGATACATTCAGTATATATAAATAATTCTTATGATATCGTAGGCGTTGGATTTTAATCCCACAAATAGCATTTTTTTTTCTTTTGTCCTATATTTTGTTTTTTTAATAACTTTCTATTACTTCATATTTTATACGGCCCGCCCTATGTATACATCCTAGATCCTTCCTTGGACTTTAGTGAGTAGTGAATCAATATGGATATCAAAATCCAACGCATTATGGATAGTGGGGAGGTAATAGGTATACAAATGTTAGATGTATATGGATATCAGGGAGGGGTATTCACACCGCCCCATTTTCCATCTCTAAGTTTTTTTTTCCCTATTGATTTAAAGTCTTATTCAATCAAATGCTCAAAATTTCTTGAGTGTGCAAATTGTCAAAGCATTACCCTCACACCCATCCTCCATCACAATTCACAACCACATTACACCCATCCAACACTCCTTTCTTCTTACCCAAATAAAAGAATACAAAACCAAGCAAAGCTTGATAGAGTTGGTGGGAAACTCACGTTGTGACTTTGAGATCACGAGTTCGAGCCCTACCTACTACAAAATTCTTGAGAGTAGGGGGATTCACTTACCTCCCCCCTCTACTCTCAAGCGATGATTTGCCAGTAGGGTCCTTTTTCTTATCTTTAAAAAAAATAAAAGAATACAAAAGTAAAACTTTCATAGCCAATTACCCAATCCTTATCAACCTTTTTTTAAAAAAAAAAAAAATCTGGTGACAGAGAGGGGCAAGCCTCGAAAAGAAAGGCACAAACTCACCACTAACAAAACAAATGAAAAGAAACCAACTCTTACTAGAGCCTAAGAAAGTCACAAACTCACCACTAACAAAACAAATGAAAAGAAACCTTTATTCATCCTAATAAACTACTTGGCATCATTCTCGGCCATGCCACCATGAAGAAAATACAAATTTATCTTCATGATAATTATTTAAAAAAAAAAAAAAAAAAAAAAAAAACCATTCATCTAATGATATTTTTATTAAAAAAAAAAAACAACTTTTCATTAAATATGGGTCTATTATTGCTGATTTAACAAATGCTATATTAATTGAGATTATACCTTGATTTTTATTTTTTTTACAAAAGTGTCATTCGATAAACGTTTTTTTATTTGTCACAAAGATAAATTGGGGTTTTCTTACTAACCCATTTAAATCATCCAATAAAATACTTCAATTAATTCCAAATTTTGATCCGCATTCACCCCGTTGTTAGCCCACCAGTCTGCTGCCCTCATCAACTATATATTATCACGGCCAACTGGGGAGTACCACGAGATCCTCGTGAGAACAGCTTCTACTTATATAATATAAGAATAACAATTATCCTCTTCAAAATCACCAATCAATTTAATCCCAAAAAAATTAGTTGAGTTTGATAAAACGCCATCAATTGAGAAACCAAGATCGCCATAATCAATGGAGGTAATAGTGATGCCATTTCACAGCCAAGGTCATATGAACACCATGCTTCAATTCGCCAAACGTTTAGCGTACAAAAGCGACATCAAAATCACCCTTGCTACCACCCTTACCACCACTCAAAAGATGTCCAACTCTACCAGTGACTTCAACTTCATTCGTTTAGAGACCATTTACGATGACTCCAACGAAGCCGGACTCAACTTCCAAGCACGAATGAACAAGTTCAAGATCGAAGCATCAGCGGAACTCGACCGCCTTATTACTGCTACTCTCAGCAGATCATCTAAATGTTTGCTGGTTTACGACGCTGCGATGGAGTGGGCATTGGATGTGGCCAAGAAATGTAATGTATTGACTGCAGCTTTTGTTACTCAGGGCTGCGCTTATATGGCGTCTTTCTACCCCATGTTTCTGCAGGAGTATCCTCGTGTTGCTGCTGCCAATCTATTTGTTGATCCTCCTTCGTCTGTACCCAATCTGTCGGAGGAAGAGCTGCTGAAAGGCCTGCCTGGCCTGCAATATCTGTCTTCGTCTTCCTCCAATTCTGATAATTCAGGTGCTCATACTGGTAAAAAGCCCATTCATCTTCTCATTCAAATGGTGCTTCTGTCTATGGAGAATCTTCATCTTGCTGATTGGGTTCTCTTCAATTCCTTTGATCAACTTGAGGATGAGGTTACTTCTTTTCCCCCCTTTTATTTTTTGTTTTGTTGGACTTATAATTTGTTCTTATTGCTACTTTGAAGATTGTGTTCATTTGAATTAGCATTGTGAAAACTTAATCTGGATTGTGGGGAGTAATGATATGTCGACACTCAACACTATCGTGTAATTTGAATTAGTGATGTGACAACTTAATCCGGACCAAGAGGAGTAATAATGTGTAGTGAAACAATCACTTCATTAGGAGATCAGCCACTTTAATTTAGGCTCTATCAAGTAGCAACAAAGATTCACACTTGATACTATAGTGGATAAGCATCAGAAGAGGTTTCAGAGTCATTAGGCCCTTAGCATTCCCTCAAAAGCCAAAACTCAAGGAGATCCACATCTTTGTCATTTGTCAAGATTGCATGCCTCATAATGCTCAATCTCATGACAGACTCAGAGTGATTGGTTACAGGAATTCAGTTCCCTCAGCTGATGAGCCAATTGGGCCTCTGCTGGAGTCCTGCATCTCCCGGTACAGGGTTTTAATAGCCGATAGTTTTAATATACTTCGTATTTTTTTTATGGTTAGGAGACATCCCTTGCAAGTAGGAATTATATGGCTATGATATGATGTTTTGGCTATTGTTGCTTTAGATGGGTTTAGTTGCATAATACTCTGAGACTTTACTGTCAGGATAACAATGTTATATGCATTGAGAATATTCCCACCAAGACTGTTCGGGTAACAAACTTTGCTCATTCCCACTCAATGTTAGAAAAGGCTCAAGGCACACTTGGGAAATAGCTTGCTGATAAGGGTCATAGAGTTTAAATGCAAATCACATTACTCATTAAAGTGAGGCACAGCTCATACAAAAATGTGCCTTTTTGGGCACCTTAGTGTTTATCATGTCTTTCTAAGGTTGGGTAGCAGTGCAATAAGGCTTCATTTCCACTGCCAAACATTGTTCCCACATGCTTCCGTGAATCTTTGGCATGTATTTAACGTAACCGTGAGCTCTAAGCTGTGTGAGAAAAATGGAAAATGTGGCCTAAAAAAATCAGCTCTTCTTTTTTAACAAAAATATGTTGCAAATCACAACCATGTATATAAATGGGCATCCCCCATAGAATACAGAATTTGCACCTTGCATGATGTATATGCCAATGCTTAATTTGCCTTATAGTTAGGAGTTAACAGTAATGATTGATTGATTGTCAATGTGTGCCTGATATAAAGGGAAATTCCCTGTTTCTCATGGTGAGAAACAAATTTGTTTCTCATAATGGCATTTTCGTGAATAAATCAACAACTTTTTCATTATTATGGGCTCCACAATTGAATAAAGTTGGTTTATTTACAAAAATGCCATTTGAGAAACAAAATTTGTTTCTCACCATGAGAAACTGGGGCATCCTCTGATATAAATGCTTATTAGTAGGCAGGTTCTGCCTATTATTTTCAATATTTGTTTTGTTTTCATTTCAGTATTTTACACTAGTAGATAATCAATGTATTCAGTGAATAAAACAGCCAAGGTTCAAAAAATTGGCATCAGTATAGCATGTGAAATAGTCCTTCACCTCCACCATCTGTACTAGAGACCCAAGTTGTATTTAGTAATTTGTGTGTGTTTCATAATCAAAAAAACTTTTCGGTCACCTGACGTGAGGTGTCAAATATAGTCAGCAATTACTGTCATTTTAACTCCAAGTTTCCAAGAAAACGTCATGAGCTTGCATAGTCACTATTTTTACTTGGAGTTTCCTATGATTGCAATTTAATATCACTCTTTTCTCAGCATATCTTGTTCTGTCATTAATGTATGTGAAATTCCGCTGCTAATTTTTTGGATATGACTACCACTGCAGGTTGTCAAGTGGATGAAAAACCTTTGGCATGTGAGGACTATTGGACCCACACTGCCATCTGCATACCTTGACAAACGTATTGAGTATGATGTTAACTATGGTTTTAGCCTCTATAAACCAAATGATGAGGCTTGTATGAATTGGCTAAACACCAAACAAGCTGCCTCAGTTGTGTATGTTGCATTTGGCAGTGCTGCTAGTTTGAGTGCAGATCAGATGGCAGAAATGGCAGAGGCCTTAAAGGAAAACCCAAGCAGTTTCCTGTGGGTAGTAAGGGAAGGTGAGCAGAAAAAGCTCCCTAAAGATTTCATTAGTGAAACATCAGATAAAGGTTTGGTGATATCTTGGTGCGCCCAATTGGATGTCCTAGCACACGAAGCAGTGGGATGTTTCGTAACCCATTGTGGCTGGAATTCAACAATTGAGGCATTGAGCTTTGGGGTTCCGATGTTGGCAATGCCACAATTTATGGACCAACTGATTGATGCTCATTTTGTTGATCAAGTTTGGGGTGTTGGGATAAGGCCTAAGAAGAATGAGGATAATATTGTTACTTGCGAGGAAATAAAGTCCGGCCTAGAGGAAATTATGCATGGACAAAGAGCAGAGAAGATTAAGGAGAATGCAGCAAAGTGGAAAGCCTTGGCTAGGGAAGCAGTCAG